TCACTTAATCGGTTGAGCAGATGAGCGGAGCTTTGTACACATAAGAAATGTCTGCTGCTGTCCTCAGTAGCTCTGCCACCGGACCCTGGAGATTAGCCTGGGAAACCCTCTGGGCCCCTGGACTCTGTCTTTCAAGGTGGCTAAGCGTGGGAATCATCTGACGCTTGTGCGCATCAATGATTTCCTTATTCTGTCTTTGGAATGCACGGGGATGGGATCTCTTCTAGTCGGCTGGCCAGGTAGCTCTGGTCCAAATTTCTCCAGATAAATTTAAAGCTACCGATCCCCAAAACATAAATTCTTAAGGAGGAAGAAAACCCACAACAGTAAGGATACATGCAGTATGAGTTCATGATATAGATTTTAGTATATTCTATTGTGGGTTCGTAAAATATGTTAGAAGTATAAAAATATGCATAGGACACAATAAAAAATCAAAGGGATGTGTTTACATCAATGAAGAAGAAAATGCAGAATGGGGGATTTGGAATGTTTTATCTCTCAGAAATCTGATGCTGTCCTGCTTGAAGTGCTGCGTGGCAGGGACCTAAGTGTCTGCTGTCTTACTTGAAATAGTGAATAACAGTGATAAAGAAAATCTAGGAGAGCAAAAATGGAAAATCATCGCACCTGTCAGTCTGTCCCACGTGATTCTGTGTCTTTGCCTCCAGGCCCCACCTGGCTGGGAAGAACAAAGGTGGCAGTTGGTCAGGCACCTGCAGTGGGGACAGTGCGTTTGGGGGTGGGTGGGAAGGGGAGGGTGGTGGTGGTGGTGGTGGTGGTGGGGCTCATTTTTATCTCCCTTAGGGAAATACCTAGAAGCGCAATGGCTGGAGTACATGCTACGTTGAGCTATGGAAGAAACTTCCAGTCTGTGTGCCAGCATGGCTGTACCACTTTGCATTTCCACCAGCAAGGAGAAAAGTGTTCCTGCTGCTGTACGTGCTCATGGACATGGCACTGTTTTACATCAGCCACTCCAAGAGGCACACCCGGGCACGCCACTGGTGTGTTGATTTGCAATTCCCTGAAGACATACGATACTGAGTTTTGTTTTTTTCATGTTCTCCTGTGTCATCTGTGTTACCTTCTTTGGTGAGGTTTTTGTTCATATCTTTTGCTAACTTACTGGGCTGTTTTCTTACGAAGGTTAAAAGTGCTCTGTACATTTTGGGTACAATCATTTGTCACTTACGTGTTTAGTCAACATTTTCTTCCAGTCTAGTCTTTCTTCTAACAGGGTATTCCAGAGCAGGCAGTTCAACATTGAAGTCCGATGTGACTGTTTTCTTTCTTTCTGAGATCACACTTCTGGTACATCCAAAGATCTAGAGTCATTGTTAAACCCAAGGTCACCTAGATTTTCACCAGTTATCTAGTAGAAGTTGTCATTTTGTATCTTACATTTAGCTTTTTTTCCTTTTTTTAATCATTATATTAGGGGCTCATACAACTCTTATCACAATCCATACATACATCAATTATGTAAAGCACATTTGTACCTTCATTCCTCTCATCATTCTCAAAACATGTGCTCTCCACCTAAGCCCCTGGCATCAGCTCCTCAGTTTTTCCCCTCCCTCCCTGCTCCCGCCTCCCCCATGAATCCTTGATAATTTATAAATTATTATTTTGTCATATCTTGCCCTGTCCGACATCTCCCTTCACCCACTTTTCTGTTGTCTGTCCCCCAGGGAGGAGGCCACATGTAGATCCTTGTAATCGGTTCCCCCTTTCTAACCCACCCTTCCAGTCTCGCCACTCACACCATTGGTCCTGAAGGGATCATCCACCCTGGATTCCTTGTGTTTCTTGTTCCTATCTGTACCAGTGTACATCCTCTGATCTAGCCAGACTTGCAAGGTAGAACTGGGATCATGATAGTGGGGGAGGAGGAAGCATTTAGGAACTAGAGGAAAGTTGTATTTTTCATCTTTGCTACATTGCACCCCGACTAGTTCTTCTCCCCAAGACCACTCTGCAAGGGGATTTCCAGTGGCCTACAAATGGGCTTTGGGTCTCCACTCCACACACACCACCTCATTCACTATAGTAAGATTTTTTTGTTCTGATGATGCCTTGTACGTGATCCCTTCAACACCTCGTGATCGCACAGGCTGGTGTGCTTCCTTCCATGTGGGCTTTGTTGCTTCTGAGCTTGATGGCCGCTTGTTTACCTTCAAGCCTTTAAGACCCCAGACGCTATATCTTTTGATAGCCAGGCACTATTACATTTAGCTTTGTGATTCATTTTGAGTTAATTTTTATGAGAGATGTAAGCTCTGTCTCAATTAATTTTTTTGGATAAAAATGTTTTTCTGAAGGGTGGCAGAAGACAATGTAAGATATGAAAATAATAATTTATAACTTATCAAGGGTTCACAAGGCAGGGAGGGTGGGGGAAGAGAGGGGGTAAAAATGAAGAGCTGATATCAAGGACTCAAAGCATCATTTCAAATGCTTTGAAATGATGATGACAACATATGTACAAATGTGCTTCACACAATGGATGAATGTATGGGTCATGATAAGAGATGTAAGAGCCCCCTATAAAAGTATTTTTTTTAAAGTTTTTTTCACAGAGTGGAAAAGACTATCCTTTCTCCATTAGTTCCCTTGCTCTTTCGTCAAAGGTTAGTTGACAGATATTGGCGTGGGTCTATTTTTGAGCTTTCCACTCTGTTCCAGGGGTGTTTGCGCCTTTGCTAGTACTACAATGTTTTGATTGTTGTAGCTTTATGGTAAATCTCAAAGTTGGGCAAGAATAGTCCTCCAACTATGTTCTTCTTTAGTATTTTGTTGGGTATTTTGGGTCTCTTGCATTTCCATACAAACTTTAGAATTAGCTAGCTGACTGCTAACTGAAAGGTCAGCAGTTCAAACCCACCAGCTCCTCCTATAAAGACTGATAGAATTGGAAGCCCGAGGCAGTTCAAGTCTGTCCTGCAGAGGGACCCAGGGAGTCAGAGTAGACAAGCCTGATGAATATTCCATGTGGACTTAAGCATGTGTATCTGGTTGTGTTGAGTGTTCTGTATAAATGCTCTATTTTATTGTCTACCTCATGGCTCAACTGAAAATGAGGAATTGAAGTCTTACCATTATCGCAAATCATCTGTGGTGGTTACATAATCTGTTCTCAATTTGAGTTATGAGTGAAGCGAGGTATAAATGCTCTATTTTATTGTCTACCTCATGGCTCAACTGAAAATGAGGAATTGAAGTTTTACCATTATCGCAAATTATCTGTGGTGGTTACATATTCTGTTCTCAATTTGAGAGTTATGAGTGAAGCGGGGGTGTGGGGTGTGGGGGTGTTAGCCTGTCAATCAGGTCACAGCTTGGCCTCATTTGGAGGCGCTAAGGAGATAAATAGCTTGTGGGAGGCAGGACACACGCTCACTCCCTGGGAGACATGCTTGCTGACAAGACACACAGAGCTCCGCTAGAGCCCAGGAGCCAGAGGAGCCACATGGAGAACCCTGCCGGCACTGAGATGCTTACATCACCACTGGACCACACAGGACTTTCCACCCACTGGCCTGTAATCTTCCTGCGTTCGAGGTCATTGCATGTGTTGTGTGAGTCTGAAGAATTTATAGACTGGTAATGGACATATGGGCTAATATTGGATTTATGGACTTGACCTGGACTGGGCCGGGATGTTTCCTCAATATTCAGTTGCTCTTGTCTATAAAGCTCTTTCTTATATACATATATGCCTTCCTGGATTTGTTTCTCTAGTCTACCAAGACTAGCACATCATCTATTTCTCCTTCATCTCTGTCAGTTTTGACTTCGTGAATTTTGGAGCTTTACTGTTTGGTTTGATGCATGCATGAATAGTTGTGCTTTATCAATTGATCATTTCACTTATCATTATGCTTTTATTTCTGGTAACATTTTTTGTTTTAAAGTCTAGACTCTCAGTGTAGTCACTTGAGTTTTTCTAATGATTGCTGATTATAATAATCTGGGTACTTTAGAGAAACAAATCCACAGAAACTCATGTAAGAGAGAGTTTTAGATAAAGATTAAGTGCACAACAAGGAAAACATCCCAACCCAGTGCTGCCCAAGCCCACAAGTCCAACATGAACCTATATGTCCGACACCAATCCACAAAGTCCTCCTCCATCTCACAAAACAGACACAGTGATGCCGACTGCAGGAGGAAAGCCGAGTCAGTGAACGTGTAAGCATCTCAGTGCTGGCAGGGTTTCCACACGGCTGCTCCAGCACCCAGGGCTGCATCGGGGTAGGTCCATGCGGCTTCTCCTCAGGGATGTCTTGCAGGAAGTAAGCCTTGCCAGCTAAAGCAGGGAACTGGCTAAGGCAGCTGGTCTGACCATCAGAAAGCAAGAGACCCGAGAACTAGAAAGGCGAGCGAGGCTCACTGAGCCATTTATCTCTCCGACCTTCAATTAACCCCACATGTTTATTGACCAGGTTGGCACAATAAACTTTAACCATCTCACCGATCCCCCCACCCATCCTTTTATTCTCAATCTATTTGTATCTTTGAAATTGAAGTCCCTGCCCTCAATTTACCTGTCCTGACTTAATGCTTATTCTTTTCCACACACCCAGTTAGCTCATCTCTCAGACACTTCTGAGGTACAGTGACTAAATATTTAAAAACTAGTTGCCACTGAGCGAGTCTCTAATTCATGAGACTCCGTGTGGGTCAAGGTAGAAGTGTTCTCCCAGCGTTTTCGATGGCTGGACTTGAGGAAGTAGATGTCAGTTGTTTCATCTGAGGCATTTCTGAACAGACTCAAGCTTCTGAGTGTTCAGTTAGGAGCCAAGCACGGAAACCAGTAACATTTGCAACCCGAATGCACTCATTATCAGAATAACATCATTTAAAACAATGTTAAAACTTAAAAAGGTCACTTGGGAACAGCAGTAATTTTCCATGAAAAAAACCTTGCCATCTAGAGCACATCTCGGTGTGTTTTTTCCTCCCAGTGAAGATGGAATAATTTCAGATCAACGAACTTTTCGGACAACTTTTGTCATTAACATTTATTTCAATTAGAGAGCTGGGAATTCAGAATTGACATTAGGTAAAACCTCAAAGTATTTGGCAAAAAAAAAAATACTATTAACAGTTTGATTAAAGTGTCCGTGGTACCTGTGATAGGTAATATAGATATATTAATAAGCTGGGGAACACATTCTAAAGAGAAACAAATTCTGATAAACTCCAGGTTGTGGGAGAAAAAAATCAATTCAGTGGTACAATTCCCCTAGGGGAGAAGCAGCTCTATTTTTCACTGTCAGTTAAAAATCTTTTCCTCTTCAAGTTGTGGTGACCAGAGCCCTGTGGACAGATTCAAACCCCAAACCTTTTCATCAGAGAACATAGCCAACTACAACAAGATTCTGTTATTTAACAGAATGTATAAACAATGTACTAGAAAACATTTTTTGAAAAGAAAAAACTGTCAGTCTATTTCATAAGCATCAAATAACTGGAAACTATATGAACTGGAAGAAAATTTCCAAACAGAAGTTAAAGACTTAAGTAAATCTATACCTACAACATCAAATGATACCCAGTTTTATTTATTAACTAAACTTTTCACTTAAAATAGTGATTCACGAAAAATAGTGATTAAAATAGTTTAAATCAAGTGTGACACTTCAACATTCCTACGGAAGTTGCCATTCCAACACACTTCTGTGAGCCTGTCCTTGAATTTAACAACTGGGAGGTTTTCAATTAGACGGCAAATGAAGGCTGAAAAATAAAAACGATTCATCTTAACATTTTTCAGAGACCTACACCTAAGTAATTTCCAAACACATAATTTATCATATGTTTATTGATGGTTTGGAATAGATTTTCCCTGAGTAGGCTTTCTGCCTGGTTAGAAAAATTAAAACATGATCTACAGAATACAATTTTATTGTGATTTTTCTTGAGAAATTTTTCACCCATCAAAGATCTTTGGGATTGTCTCCTAGACAGCTCTGAAGTCATGAGTAATTCAAACGGCTTTCAGGGGCTACTGGAATGGCTGTAGAAATATGGCTGGGGGTTGGGCCCTGAGAACAAGTACAGCTGGTGTCAACTGAAGTGATGGAGTTTTCTAAAACTACCAACAGTTATTGTAACAAACTCAGACTGCCACTAGCTTCACAGAAGAAAGGTGATAACTGACAAAGAGACAAGCATTTAAGGGACAGAAATCAAAAGTGGAGTTTAACATTGTGCTTTCTGCAAATGCTGGGGGTGGGGTGGGGGTAAGGACCCTCTGCCCAACACAGGAAATACCTCACCTTCAAACTTTATTTAACGCAGTCTTGGAATCTATCATCCCTGAATGGTCATGCAAACTTACAATTAGCATCCCGGGGACTGCCAGCAAATCACAGTCCTTGTTGCTGTCCTGAGATGTACAGGCCAAGAGACACACTACACCCAGTGCACATGCACAGAAAACACCACAGCTGCGTTCCAATAACGTTTTTTTCAGCTTCTTTAGAAACCTTAGCTTAAGGGTTAGGCCTCGTCTCGTTCAAATAAATAAATCAAGGATAACAAATGTGGGAGCCTGAAGACGGTACATTTAAAATAATTGTCTTCTTCTACATCACTTAGAATAACACTAGAAGAAATGGAGATTTCAAGTGGATTACTTACAGTTTTCTTAAGACCTAACTATGTATTTCTCTTCACATTGTGGTCTATGTGGCTTACAAGAATACTCAGTAACTTAAAACATCTGAAAGATCTTCTGCAGGTCTCCCAAGAAGGGCAGCCACTTCCGATGACCAGGAATCTGTCTTTTTAGTGGAATCCAGAAGGCACTCTATACGGGACGCCCTGGGCCCAAACGGCTTTTAGACCTACATTTTTTTAAAACAGAAAAGACAGTCAGAATTGCTTCTCAAACAATGGGGTGCTGCCGCTGCTGCTTTATATTACACTTACTCGGCAGTTATCAAAGCCCATTGAAACTTCAAGTAGCTCTGTAACCCATTTCCTGCAACATCTGGAGTGAGATGTATTTTGGAATTCAGCTATGTTTAGATTTTCGAGAGACATGGCACACATCTTATTTATAGGTCCGGTGCAGTGTCCCATTAACATCTCTTCCGTAGAGAAAGCTCTTGGCATTAGGTAGGATCATGAAAGCTACAACTCTATAGCCACACAGAAGCTCAGTTCAAGTTTGAATTGCCAGAAACGTGTGTGTGTGTGTGTGTGTGTGTGTGTGTGTGTGTGTTGTGGGGGGAAGCCGGCTTTCGGAACTTTCTGAATTCCAGAACTGTCAACAGGGCATTTGCATTGTAAGCAGTCACATTCAGATCCTGGTTAACTATCAATCCGGACAGAAGATCTGAGATGTAAAATGACACAGGATCTGAGTAAATCTCATTAAGCGGAGTAAGGTAATAAAGAATGAGAGAAGCCTCAATGATTTACACAAAGTCACGGTATTTCATTAACGAACAGAACAAAAAGTCCGCTAAGGCACAGAAGCCCTGTGCTTTCCAGTTTACACCCATTGGCTCAGAGCACAGCTGCCGCACTTAACAGAAAACTTTTAACTGAAAACACAAACACCAACAGTGATGCTTTCATTAACTATCGTGCTTATGACTTTTACACTCAGGCAGCTGCAGGTTTAGACTCAGGTAAACAGGGTTTTGTTTTTAATATTAGCACAGGTCTCACACTTAAAAACTTAATTTTGTCAAGATAAGTAGTCAACAGGATCTAATTAAGTTTTGGATGACTGAATCCTTGAAACAACCAACCAACCAAAAAGCCAAGTTCAAACGATGAGCTTCCTGTGCTCCAAGGAAGGACTGACCCCTGAAAAACACTGCTTGGAGGCCAGGGTCATTGTTAATGCTTTTGTGCAGCTTTAGAGTCACAGAAACCCACAAGGGCAGCTCTTCCCTGTCCTGCAGGGTGGCTCTCGATCCGTACGGACTCAATGGCAGTGGGCTGTTTTTTGGGTTTGTGTGGCATTACCTGGTGTTCTTCTCTGTGCTGCTCTGCCGACCGCTGGGGGGCACGGAGGCCTTGATTTGTGCTTCCAGCCTGGAGTAAATCCCTCCTGCCAACTGCGGAGGACAGAAGCGGTGCTGTGATCAACACAGGAAAGTGAAACAGCCCTGCTCGTGCAGAGCAGTACTACTCTTTATGCTTCTGAGTAAATTGATTTTGAGTCTTTTATATTTAAGCAAACCGAGGGAGACATTACACACAGTACAACTCACCCTCCTCAGGGTCCAGGTTCCGTCGCAATAAGGACCAAGGACAGCCCTATCCCTCCAGAGGACCCTGCTATAGCTCATCCTCCTCCATCTGTCTCTGCCACCCCAGAGCTGCTGGGTACTTTTCGGAATATTAAATACCTGGAATCCTCCACTCGGCGGCCTTTTCAGTCTGTGTGCGTTCACTTTGTGTAATGCGCAGGAGCCCCATCCACGCCGACACACGTGGCACTCAGACCCTTTCTTATACATGCCAGTTTGCTTACCCATTTATTTACTGGGTAAAGGGCACTGGGGTTGTTGCTGGTGGCTGGTCATGAACAAAGGTACTATAAACACACGGGCTTGTCTGTGGTGTGCGGACAGCCTCATAGGAAATCGCCAAATCATCTCCCCAGCGGTCATGTTGCATTCTTGTATGTGTGAGAACCCCAGTCGCTCTCTATTCTCACTGCACGTGGTATGTCAGTGACGTGTGTACTTGTTTTAATGTTAGCTGGTGTATAAGGGGTATCTCGTTATGGTTTAAAAATGTATTTATTAAAAGATCAGTTTATTGGGGGCTCTTACAGCTTTTTTTTTTTCTTTTTATTCAGTCTCCGTGGAGACCGTCAAAAATTGCCAATGCCGACTATATTTCAAGTCGTCACGGCGGGGTATTGGGAAAAGTTTTCAATTAGCAATAATCGCGTCTCGGGTACACCTCATTGGCTACGATACTGCCACTGCGCAAAGCTGCTCTTACAGCTCTTATAACAATCCATATATCAATTGTATCAGGCATATTTGTGCATATGTTGCCATCATTCTTTTCTAAACATTTACTTTCTATTTGAGCCCTTCGTATAGGCTCCTTTTTTCCCTCTCAGTATGGCTTTAATGTATATTTCTCTGATGACTTATGATTTTGCATCTTTTCATGTACTTAGTTGCCACCTATATATTTCCTTGGTGAAGGGTTTGATCAATCTTTTGCCTGCTTTGAAAACAGGGTTCCCAAAGCGCAGTGTAAAGCGAGCTCAATCAATTAGGAAATCCATCTGCACAAAGCAACAGCGCATGGGCTGCAGCCGTCAGTCAGACTGTACTCACATCAACTCCGCGTAGCAACAGAACCTGAGATTCCAGGCCGTTCATAAATTCTTGATGTTAAGAGTGCAACCAGCTTATGCCCCAGGAGGACGGCTGGTTTTTTTTTCGGTTTTGGTTACTTTGAGTTTTATTTGTAATTTTGCTTTTTGTTGTTGGTGGGACCACCAAAGTAAGTCAGAGGAGTTCATAACGCGTGAACAAGCAGATGGATTCTGGGATCCCACATCATTCTAGCCCCAATCCAAGAAGTTATTATAAAATGGCCCTGCTCCATTCTCGCCTTCATAAAGAGACCATGGAAGATAAGGGTGCTACAGCAAAGTGTGGTGAGGAAAGCAGGTAGTGCCCAGCTATCAATTGGAATAGTGTCTGGGGTCTTAAAGGCTTGTAATCAAACAAGCAGCCATCTAAGTGAGGGGCCAACTAAGTCCGCATCGAGGCAGCACACCAGCCTGTGTGATCCTAAAATGACAATAGCAACAACGTGTCAGAGCTTAAATTGTGAACCCCAATTTGTAGAAGGCTCTGGAGGGCGGTGGGAACCCAAAGCCCATCTGCAGAGTATCCAGTCAGATTAAGTCTCTGGCAGATCCCCTCTGGCCACAGGCAAGGGATTCAAACAACTTTACTCTCAGACAGAGATTATTATAAACTTGATTATGGTGGAACGAGCCATAAGCTACTTGGACAGTTGACCTCCCTCCTGACCCAACCTGAATTTGCTCTAGGCTGAAATATTTCTCACTTATTCCATGACAGAAATTTCTTCTCTAGGGCCCGCGGGAGGTGCAGGGGGTGGGGTGGGGGGGATTTTTTCTCTGGCTTTTTAAATATTGCTGGTGGTCTTTTCTTTTTTACTTTTTATTTTTATATTATTATTATTAGTTTCATTTTTTAAATTGTTTGTGTTAGGTTTCCCAGTTTATGAAGCAGAGGAGTGGATGCAGAGACAGTAACTGATGCAATGGTTTACTGGGGAACTACGGGCAGGGGATGGTGAGGAAGGGGGATTTAGGAGCAAACAATGAATGGGGGAGGAGAGAGGGAGCATTAGAATTGATTGCGATGATGCATATACAACTCTTTTAAAAAGCGATTTAAATATGGAAGCGTATGATATGTGAATGTTATATCAAGACAACGAGTTTAAGAAAAAGTAGACTACACTTGACCTGTGGCTACCACAGGTGAAGGAGGAAGAGCTTTTGTTTCGGGGCAGTGAGCTTGTTCATGCGGTGGAATAATTTGGAGAAGGAGATCAGTAATGGTTGTATGACAGGAAGACTATAATCAAGGGCACTGAATTATACATGTAAGAAGTTGTTGAATTGGAGAATGTTTGGTTGTGTATATTTTTGCCACAATTGAAGAAAATAATTACACGAATAACAAGGAGTACAAAGAAGAAAAAAATGTTCTAAAATTGACTGGGGTAATGATTGTACAACTCTTATTGATATGATTGAACTATGGAATGATTTGATATATGTATTAATCCCAATTAATAAAATTTAACAAACACATATCAAATGCGAAAAAACTAACCAAATAGGGCTCTTACTTTATTAGAGGGTTGAGTGTTCTTAATAGATTCTAGACATAAATGCTTTATTCGATAAGTGTTCACCTTATATCTTATCATAGTTTGTGGCTTGTTTCTTAAGTCTTTTAACAAGGTTTATCCAAAAGAAGAACTTAAATTTGGGAAAGTTCAATTTGTCAAATTTTTTCTTCTATGAATGAGGTTTTGGTGTTGTGCCTAAGAAACATTTGCCTAACCCAAGATCACAATTCTCCTTGTTTTGGTTTAGAAGCTTTCTGGTGGGGAGTACACTTTTAAATAAAAAATTGAGGAGAGCAAGAGTTATTCGAAATATAGAATACAAAGAGTAATGCTAACACATTATGTGCTTACTAGTTCTAGCAAGAAGATAGGAACTTCAGAAAGAACTGATTAAACAGATCACATGTAAGCATCACATGCAGGTTAATCAAAATCAGCAACTTGCATCTAGAGCCAGCAGCCCTCTGGAAAGCCAACTGGGTCAACAGGCCTCAGTTGACCTACTCTTTTATGACATTACCTTCGAATGACAATGCCCTTTATTTTTTTACTTTTCGTTGCAGAGTGGGTGAAGATTTACAGAGCAAATCATCACTTGTACATTCAACAACAGACCCATCTCCCAGGGTCTCGCCCGGCTCCATTATTGTTTACTGATTTCCTTTCTGTTGGTTCTTGTCCCCCCTCAAGCAGGGCGATCACCTGTCGACCCTCTAGTCGGACTTCCCCTTCTCTCCCTTCCCCTCCCACCGCCGGTCACCCTCAAACTCTGTTCCTTACAGTCTACAGCTCTTGTTATTCTGATAACAGTGGTCTCATGCAACATCTGTCCTTTTGTGATGGACTAATTCCACTCAGCAGAATGTCCTCCAGGTTGACCCACGTTTTCAGGTACGATACTCCTTATTATACATGTTATAAAGAATCTCTGGACCACAGAGAAGAAGATGGAAAATTTGTGTGAATGAACTGGTTAAACTGCTACAGAAATGAAAAATGTTTTGAAGTAGTTAGATTACTCTCTGAGAATTCTGCCGAGAACATCTTTATACTCTTTCATGCTGCAAATTAAAGTAGGGAGCGCTCTCTAAGCAAGAAACACCAGTACACACTCTTACTTCTTTCGCTTCCTTTGACTTGACCCGGTCCAGATCGCCCAGCCTCATTTTTATTAGATGCCTTGTAATTTCAGACATCCGCCGCTGGTCTGAAGGCAAGAAAGTAGCAATCAATGCCTTACATGACGATTGGTAACTTTCACTTGTTGAGAAAGACTGAAATCATCAAGAGGTTATGAAAATATCTTGACATTTGATAGCCACAACTATAAATCATTGAATAATTTGAGGCAGCAAATGGCACAATTAAAACTTATTTTTCACTTATCTATCTTGTTACCCAACATTTCACAGTGATGATAACTTTGAAAAAAAATTCTCTAATGGACTGGGCCCATGGGACGCTGTGGGCAGGTCCAGGGGGCCCTCTATGGGCCACCCCAAACGAGATAGCAGAAGACTCAATACCCACTGAGCCACACGAGAGAGGGTGGCCCATGAGCCCTGGGGTGCCATCTCCTGTTGGCCTATGATTCTAGGTTTGGCCCCGGAGGGTGTGGGGCTACACAGGAATCAGGAGAGTTTGAGGCTGGGCAGGAAGAGGAAAGGTGAGTACTCCCAAGTGCGAGGGAGCTGGGTCATGGGGCGAGAAGCAAGGGGGATGGAAGGGGACCTTGAGGGGCTATAGGGGGAGGGCAGATGGAGGATGACAGGGGTCCCTGCTTAGGGTGGGGAAGCTGCATACAACACTTCACCAGCACCATTATGCCCAACTTCCGTGGGCTCCGTGATGGTGGGAGTGTCGGGTGTGTGTGTGGGGAGGGGGAGGGGGTAGAATGCCATGATATCCTAGAATGTTCCAGGAGTACCTGATGGGCAAGTGAGTGCCTGGGGAGGGGGAGCAAAACTGGCATTGAAGATAGGGTATGGCCCCCAACTCTCACAATGCTGGATTTTCACAATGACCTAGTCTTCAGGACCTGATGGATTTGCTATGTGAGGAGGGTGCGCATGGATAACCGTTGTGTCTTTTAGACTCCTGTCAACCATCTTCTGCGTGAAAGCCGTGGACAAACGTCAGTCTGTGAGCCCTTCTCAGCATCCCACACGGCATAAGACATTAACCACTGAGATGGCCCAACAACAAACATCCGGTTGGTTGATGAGTATGCCAAGAGGGGCTAAGTCTGGGTCTCCATTCACCTAGAATTCTAGGGTCTATTCACGAAGTCTTGCTGGGGTACACAATGCTAATGGAAGCAGCAGTCAAGAGATCAAATGACACCTTTCATTGAGTAAATCTGCCACACAAGACCTCTTTCAAGTGTTGAAAAGCGCCCTTTCCGGCGCTGACGACCACCCGGCGATCATGCCTCTCGCAAAGGACCTCCTTCATCCCTCTCCTGAAGAGGAGAAGAGGAAACACAAGAAGAAGCGCCTGGTGCAGAGCCCCAATTCCTACTTCATGGACGTCAAATGCCCAGGCTGCTATAAAATCACCACGGTCTTCAGCCATGCACAAACAGTCGTTTTGTGTGTTGGCTGCTCTACTGTCCTCTGTCAGCCTACAGGAGGAAAAGCAAGGCTCACAGAAGGATGCTCCTTCAGACGGAAGCAGCACTAAAAGACCCTGAATCGAGATGAGTGGAAAGCCATTCTAATAAACCCATTTTGGATTAAAAAAAAAAAAGTGTTGAAAAGCAAGGAGGTTACTTTGAGGATCAAGGTGTGCCTGAGCAAGCCACGGTATTTTCAATGGCCTCATAGGCACGTGACAAACACTGAATAGGGAAGACCGCAGAAGCTTCGATGCATTTGAATTGTGGTGCTGGCAGAATACTGCAGGAGGAACGAACAGGTCTGTCTTAGAAGGGGCACACCAGAAAACCCCTTGGCCCCGTGTACTTGGGACACGTTGTCAGAAGACACAAGTCCCTGGAAAGGACGTCACGCTTTGGGAAAGCAGAAGGGCAGTGGAAAAGAGGAAGGCTCTCCACAAGATGGAGTGACACAGTGGCTGCAGCCACGCGCTCAAATGAAGGACACTTTCGGATGACGCAGGACTGGGCGGGGTTTTGTTCTGTTGTGCGTAGGGTCGCTATGAGTCAGGACAGATTTGGGGGCATCTAACAACAACAGGATCCAGTACATGTCATACAATGATAGATGGCCGTGATCTTTGTTGTTGGCACCAAAAGCTTACCGTCTTCCCTTTGAGCATCCTGGTTGAATCGCAGAGATCTGGTGACATCCCACTTGTTTTTCTGAATACTCACACTATCGAGAACATCACACAGGAGTCAGTGTGTCTGCTGTGTGAAGGACGGGCATCAAACTAGAAGAAGGAGCTTACTCACATGAAAGGAGATGCGTCTCTGGAAGCTGACTGGGGAAAAAAGCGCATGAAGGCCCAATTAGAGCACGTGTAGTGATGGTGACTACTGTCCAGGGCTTATGACACTGAGCACTGGTTTGGGGCAAGAACATCACACCCTTAGCTCACATAAGTCTTCCAACCACTAGGCGGCGCCAGCACTATGAAGACCTCATTAATAAGACAGGTGCGGAGAGGTTAAGGAGCTTGTCCAGGGGACCTTTGTCAGACCCTGGAGCACCGTCTCAGGTACGGTCAGTCTTGTAGAAATCGTTCATTCATGTGCCTGAGCTACTGAACAACAACGAACGCACAACCCACCCCATATCATAGCACAGATGGGTCGCGGTCCCATTCTGGCATCGGTCACCCCCAAAAGCCCCAGCCTTTTGCACCATGTTGGAATCCATGGTTTCTCTGAGTCAACTGTCTTCTTCCTACCTCTGCCACAGTTCACACTCTTTGTATCTTTCCTCTTTTGTTACTCTTCTTTTAACTACACCCCCCCACCGCCCCGCTACACTTGCTTATGTATTTTTCCATATCAACTTTAGATGAGAACAAACAGAACATTCAGAATCACCTTCTCCGGGGCCTTCTCTCGCTTCTGAGCACAGGGTGAGGACATCTGCTTTTTGGGCTGCTTAGTGAATTTCTTTGGCTTCTCCTTCTTCCCTGGAGAGGAAAGTCAATGTCAAGTCTCACACCCTGTTCCCAGGCTCTTGCTCCTCCAAACAATGTGAGCACTGTTTTTCAAAGCTTCCTGGTTACTTCTGGATAAAAAGTAAACCTATGGAGAAGGAACATGGAAATTGCCTGACAGAAGCCCACTTTGCTTCTTTTGACTTGGTGTAAACCTTTTGGGGTTTACTGCAAATTCAAAGGGAAAATGTTGGGAGCAAGACAGCTGCAGAAACCTGCGATCTAAATACTACACGCAGACTGCCCAAGCTCCCAGCTGAGTGTTAAACAGTGTTAAAGGGAGGCAGAAGCGAGGGTGCAAGGCAGAACCCTGTCTGGTGTCCTTTGGCTGTTCCCGGGGACCTGTTGGATGGCTCACTGCAAGGTCAACAGTTCAAACCCACCGGGCGCACCTTGGGAGCAAGAGGAGGCTTTGTGGGGCGGTAGCTATTTAGAGCGCTGGAAATCCAAAGGCGCAGTTCTACTCTGTTGCTGTGAGTCAGAACGGACAGGGAGTTGGGTTCTGGTTTTTGCGCCTTTGACTAAATGCTTTTCCCAACAGCTCGGGCCACAGGTAACCAGGAGCCTTTCTGTCTGACAGGAGCTCTGGTGGCGTGGTGGAAAATCGAAAAAATTAAGTGTTCTTGAGAAATTAAAAACAAAAACAGAGCACCTTTGTCTTCAAATGATACCAGTAACTAAATGAGAAGTCAAGGCACAGATTGGGAAAAATATGTACAAAACTGGCAACGAGCCCGGGTGACACAGCGGATTTTAGGTTGCGCTGTTAATTACAGAACTTAACAGACAGCAAACTCACAGCCCAAACAGGTCTGGGAATCTTATAACTCAAGAGAAGGAAACAATCTGACAAAAACAATGTGCAAACGATTTAAACAGATACTTCACTAAACTAGATATACAAGTGCCCAGTCAAGATAAGCAGCATTATACACTGACTCTCTCACAAAACTCACTGCCATCGAGTTGATGCGGACTCCTAGCGCCCCTACGAGTTTCCGAGACTGCAGAACTCTCTCGGGAGGAAAAGGGTCCGTTTTTCTCCCTCAGAGTGGCTGGTGGTTTTAAACTGCTGACTTTGCAGTTAGCAGCCCAACTCGGAGCCATTCCTCCACCAGGGCTTATTTTAAAGCCCAGATAAAAACATTTGGGGGCAGGATAATTAGATCAATGAAAATGAAGCAACTAGAACAGAAATAACAAGAATGTTGACACAATGCGAAGAATTTAGCCAACATCACTGATCATTATGTCCAGAAACTCTGTATATTTTCATTACAAATATAAATGAATGAGTGACCAAACTCCTGTTACATGCAATATGGATAAATCTCAAAAATATACGAAGTGAAAAAAAGCCAGGCATAAAAGGCTGCTCATGAGTTCGTTTATAGGAAATTCTGGATGAGGGCAAGTGGAACGAGAGACCACAGATTAGTTGCCTAAGAGTGGGTGTGGGGAATGAAAATGGGTGTAAGGGGCAGGCAGGAATGTTTTGGAACAAGGTCGCATAACTTAATTTTGGTGGTAGCTGTGGCACCACTGTGCATTCGAAATCAGTAGGTTCTATTTATTTATATGTAAACTATACCTCAATCAGATCACGTGTCTGTGTGTGGATGGGTGAAAAAAACAGTAGCATTTTCTTCTTGACCAATTATACTGAAATATAATAGAAGGAACAGCTTTTCACTCCAGGATCCAATTTGTTAAGAAAAAGTATTCAAAGTTTGGAAACGAGACAGAAGGAGGTCAGGGCGTCCTTTCAAAATCCCAGCGGAGCACAGCACGCTGGTTAACGGACTTACTCAAGGATTACATTTCTGACTCAGGGTCATTCTGCATGTGCATATGGTCACATCTCGTACTGTCGGCTGCTCTTCGGTGCTTCACTGGAGAGCCACTACAAGTACCTCATGGCTCCACTGAGAGAGAGAGACTTTTTTGTTTTTGAGAGAGACATTTCTGAGAGATAATTAGGTAACACCTGAAGTGAGAATTCCGAGGGCGGTTTCTCAGGGCACTGCACTTTTCTCTGTCACTTTTTCAGTATTCTGCATTGGTCTCGAGGCAAATAATTTCGATGGAACCTTTTAAAATTATTCAGTCTTCACATTTTAACCGACCATGTGGACTTCGATAGTCAACCCCTGCCGTTTGCATTAAAGCCTTTATAGTGAACACCACCGCTCGGTGCACATGGAGACACAATTTTAATTTAGAGATGAGTACTTTGTTTTTTGGACACTTCTTCTTCATCTCCAACTTCATCTTCAGTGACCTCAGATCCAGTGGTATATTCTTCTTCTTCGGAAAATAACGACTGCTGTTTCTGAATTTGAAATAAAACAATATATAGCCGGTTAAAAATAGAACATCCCTCAGGACCAACAAGGAGAGTAGAGATACCAGGAGGATTAGGGGAGTGTGGTAGGAGAAAGGGGGAATCGATCACAAGGATCACAACCTAGGACACCCTCCCAGGGGCATGAATAATGGAAGTGGGTAAGGGGTGATGGAGGACGATGTAAGATATAGAAAAAATAATCTATAACTTATCAAGGGTTCATGAGGGAGGGTAGGTGGAGGAGGGAGGGGGAAGAAATGGGAAGTGGATATCAGGGGCTCATAGTGGGAAGAGAATGCTTTGAAAACGATGATGGCGGCATATGTGCAAATGTGCTTGACACACTGGAGGAATGTATGGATTGTGATAAGAGACGTAAGGGCCCCCAGTAAAAGTATTTTAAAAAATGGAACATCATCACATAGCTCACGACAAATTTTTCAAGTGCGTTTATGGAAATCTATTTGGGTTGAATAAAACAACGAAGAACTGATCAAATGACTATGGTCTCACATAGCACCCAGAGAACAGACAAAAGGAAGTCTCTATTTAGGAAAAGCACAGTACATCAGCATTTTCTTTCCTGCACAGGGCTAGGCAATTCACAGGTACTCAGGATTCGCCGAAAGGCCAAACTTAGCCACTCAGCTGAATGTAGGGTGATGACTCACTGGAATCAATCATTAAAACAATAACTCCCAACATGCAAGTAATCCTAAACAAACACGCGCACACACTACTGGGGTCCTGGGTCACTTACTACATCTCTCCACCCTACTGACTGGCTCCACTGACCCAAATCTCATTCCGTTTTGTTGAGTCCTGGTGGCAGCAGGCTTATTAACAGCACGCAGGCCAACAAATAATTTGCTGCTTTGCTCAACATTTTAACTGCAATGTAAAAGTGATTTTTAAAAAGTCTCTTAGCCAGACATAACGATTATGCAGTCAGACAATGGTACACGTGGCTGTCTTAAACAACGTAATGGATGTTTCATCAGTGAGAATCTGTATAGGCTGGGCAGAAAAAATTATTTAAAATTAGCTAAAATTTGTCAAACACGACATGGACAAGATACAAGTCAACTACAATTTAATTTAGGGACAAAGGGAACCATTGAATCTGAATGTCGTTGTCTATTTACCAGTTGCAGCGTCCAGTTTTTCAGCGACAAAAACTGTAAGAAAGAAGCGGAAGAAGAGATTAATACATTTGCGTCAGCGCAGATGGTGGCCCCTCGTTATGTCACAGGGCCACTCTAGAATGGCTGAGGCCATTAGGAGTTACTTAGCTCTGTGAAAGGTAGAAACCTAACCTAAAACTCCCGGTGACACCACAGATCACAATCTTTAAAATACATTGCCGGGGGAGATTATGGGTGGTCAAGAAATGAAAGAGCAGTATCACGTTTGTTAAGGCCACTCGCTTCCAAGTGATAAATAAATTGCATGGATCAATCATGTAATTTTACTTGTTTTTCACTCGAGGAGCTGCTGGTGGTTTCGAACTGCGGACCATGCAGCTTGCAGCCCAACAAGTAACCACTCCACCACCAGGGCTCATGAGAATGATAACATAAGCTAATGATGTGCTGCCTACTGCCCATGGTGGGTACTATGAACAATAAGATGAACTGCCCCCCCACCCCCCAGGTGGCCCAGCTCGAAGATGATGTAACGTCAGGGACTACCTGCCCCTGCATTTCTCAAATACTTAATTTTAATCCTTAATTGTCTTTAGTAAAATCCATGAAGCTTTCGTACTATTCTTTTCAAAATATAGGTCTATCAGTTATGAATCCTTATGACTTCTGCAGCCCTATCATTTCAGCATAAAGCCTGTTATCATGGAAAACTCTCAGGTTCACCGCCCTCAAGGCCATTCCGACTCACAGCGACCCTCCAGGGCAGGGCTTCCACACCAGAAGCTCTTTAAAGAGCGCTACCGAATGAGGCAGTCAGCGATTCCTGCATTAACAGAAATTCTTAAGTCTCCACTTATACTGCTCAGCTGTCTCTACAAACAAGGAACAAGTGACACTCGCTACTCACAGCATTGAGCTCCCCGGTCCTGGGGCCCCACGGTGTGCTTGGCTCCAGTGACACATCACAGTCCAGACCCTTTTCCTCACACTGGCCAACCCCGGGCTCACTTGAAAGAAAAACATATTTAAAACTTAAATGCAAATATCATTTTTTATTGTGAATATTTTGCAAATCACTCTGTGGAAAGCCAGATCCTCAGTATTAGGCAGACCAGTTTCACACTTCAATTGAATTCACCTGGTGACTCACCTGCCGTTTCCTAGACTGCAGCTGTTTACGGGAGGAGAAAGCCCAGACTTTCACTCAAAGGACCATGCGAATCGCAGCCCCATGCATAACTGCTACCCCACCTGGCTCCATTGGAAACCTTAAAGATTCTATTGAGGGTCCTGACCTTTTAAATCACCAATGACCCAGTATATATTTAAGACCTTTTTAGACGAGACCTCACTGTTTTAAAATGTTTGGGTTTTGTTTTGTTTTTTTCTTGCAAACATTGGTTTGCTCTCATTGGAAGTTAACACATAACTTCAAGTTCACACAGAACTTTAAGTTCTCGGAAGTGAGGTAAATGACTTGCGGATGGACCCTGCTGATGTGCTGGGGCAGGGGTGGGTGGGTTCTGAGACGGGACCCACTGTGTAAAGCTGCATGCGGCACACTGACTTGTTAGGTGCTGGTTTTTGTCTCACCTAATTGCATCTTTGGAAAAAGGCACAGCGATGACATCTTTGTGACTGATCAGGTCGTCCAGAATTCTCGTTGTTGGGAAGGACTGCACGTCCTCACTTTCAGCTGGATGGCAACGGGTGACCAGGTGGTCCCTCACTTTACAGCCCTGTCAGGTAAGTGACATCAAATTAGAGGAAAGCCTTCCTTTGAAGATCCCTGTGTGTGTGTGGGGTGGTGGTGGTGTTTTGTGTTACCAGATGTTTGAGGCAGTTTACAATGTTTTCCTGTGAAAAGGTAACACTCCTAATGAAAGGTCCCGAAACACAGGTGCACCTAGTACCCAAGAACAGCCCTGCCCCTCCACCCACTTTAGGGACTAGAGAGCTGACAGAATCCCAGAAGAACCCTTCCTCTTACCAGGGTGCCATCTGTACTGACTTTTATGGTAAGCACTTCCTGACTTTACATTATACTTTTACCACTTAAGGATAAACCCCTGAACACTTTGGTTTCATTTTGCTTCTTTGGTTCAATACTGCATTTTTTATAATCCAACTAGGCATTTGCCTGTAGCAGTGCATTTGCTTTCATGCACAGACTTGCATTGCATGAATATTTAGACATGATTTATTTATCCTCCTGTTGATAGGGGGGTTGTTTCCCGTGCGGGTTAGTATAAAAACTGCTGTGGTCATTATTTTTACATGTTTCTTGGCCCACAAGTGCACAGATAGGTCGATTATACTGTTACCAGCAGCACCCAAGAGCTCCTGCCATGCCCCATCCTGGATAACACTAAGGCTCTATAAGCTTAGTCACCGTGAGGGGTATGTAGTGGTATCTCACTGGGGTTTCAATGTGCATTCCCCCAACTGCAAGCAAGATAGAGCTGCTTTATGCTTGCTGGACAAGAGTTTTTGCTTGTGTGAAACACTTATTGTCTTCCCCCACCCCCTTACTGATTTGTAGGAGCCTTACTGTAAGAGAGTTTTAATATGGTATGGTTACTGTGTATCGTGTTGTTGTAGAATATGTTTCAATTTGCATGTGTGCAGAATACAACACTGGAGGATTTCCATGTCTTTGACCTTTGAGACGAAAACTGACAGGTCTCTCTCCTGAGGTGTTTCTGGGTGGGTTCGAACTGCCACATTTTAAAATACAAATCTTTATGAGTATATATATTGCTAATAATCCTTTCTACCTTTGAGTTGTCTTCTCAGATCTCAACTGATTTAATATAACTGATATTCTTGGACTTACCAATCTCTTACTAGATTGCTTAGCGTCTCCTTCACATATAGATTTTTTTAAACTCATGGGACAGATTTCAATTTGATTCTCCCACTCCCACCATATGGACAGCTCTTAATGGAAAGGCCACCCTTGGCCCAGAACTCGGCAGTGCCAACTCAGTCAAGTGCCCATGTAAGTTTCTTCTGAGTAACCTTTGCTGTCTTCATGTCTGCCACTCTTGCAGCTCCTCTGGTCTTTGGGCGTTCCTGTTCAGTACACTAAATGAGTTTCTGACCCCGTCTCTCTGTTCAGCGGAGAGATACTCAGAGTTGCATTTGGCTCCTGTGGATTTGTGTTGAATGACTTCAGCATCAACCTAAAGCTGCATGTGAGCCACTGATACTCTGTCCCAGGCAGCCGCTGGCCTTGTTCTGGCCAACGATCTGGAGCTTCTCCATCATCTCCCCAGAGATGGTGTTCACTTGATTCTGGTGTATTGGACCTGATGAGGTCCACATGTACAGTCTGTTTACAGTGCTGGGGGGGAAAAGGTATGTGCAATGAAGAAGTCAATTTTGCAAAATGTCCACAGCGGCTTCCTGTCAGGTTCTTCCTTGCTTTGCTGTTCTCATGGAATGCTCTTCCTTCTCTCAAATTCTCCCTCCACTCTTCACATATCACCCCGTCAGCTCCTTTAGGGGCACACCTGGACTTCCGCGGCCATGGCATACCAGCCTAGGACAGACATCTGTGGCCCTGTGCATGTCTTCAAATGTTCACCGTGGGTGCAGTGTGACATTTATTTTTTTACAGTCTTGAAATTAGGATAGCTTTCCTTTATTTTATTTTTTAATCACTTTATTGCGGGCTCGGACAACTCATCACAATCCATCCATCCCTCCCTTGTGTCAAGCACATTTGAATGTAACATTTCTTGGTTACTCTCCCCCACCTGGCCCACCGTGTGGTCTCAATGACTGTGAAGGGGAAAATGAATTTCCACACGGACTGCACAGGGTTTGTAGATTTTTGTCATAGGGGTGAACATAAGAAAGAGCTGGGGTCCTTTTCAACGCATGAACTTTTGTTGCAGAACATTTTCAGAAGCGTTAGTGCTCAAGGGCTCTAACCTACAGCACCGCTCATGTATCACACCTGCAGTCCACCTGCAGCACTGTAATCCTGCCCACCTGAACATGATCTCAATGTCTGCCGTTGTCCTGCCCACACAGTCACGCAACACCATGACACAGCAGGCTGACCGAGGCACCCAGTGGGGTGGAAGAATAAAACAGGCAGTATGCTCTCGTTTCCCATATGCAATTTACATACGATTGATGCCGGAAGCATCTAAAACAAGGTCTGAAAGGAAACAGGTGTGGAAGGAGAAGGCAGATGGAGTGGAGGACTGGTTAAAAGAAACACAACCAAACTTTTCAAAAATAAAATAAAAATACTGCCTCACTTGAAACTAAGCAGCAGTATTTCTGTATTGTTTGAAGTGCTCTCTACATGAATGCAGTACTTGTATACTTTAACAAGAACAAAGGGAGCAGGGGTGTGTGTGCATGCGTTGGGGCGATGGACTACCGGAAGGTGTGATTGGTGGTCTGGACTATTGAGTGCAAAATTGATGATCTGAAATGTAAGCCCACCCCCCCACCCCCCCACCCCCACCCTGCCAAGAAATAGTCAAAGGGGTGAGGATTTAAATGAAAACATGCCAGTGCCCTAGTGCTGCGTGCCAGCTCAGTTGGGCAGCGTTCTCCATTTACCTTGGTAAGCTGACTGGGATCAAACCGTAGCACCTTTTGGTTACAGCAGGGGTAGAGCCCAGTGCCCATGGCACTCTGGGAGCTCGTGGTCGGAGGGTACACCACTGCTTCCGAGTGGTACTGACAGTGCGAGAACTCCGTACAGAGAAAGGTCTGAACAGGAGAAATAGATAAACTCAGTATTAGCTCCAAGACGGAACTATGCATATAGAACGTACAAAAAAGGCCGCCTCACATGTGGCTGATTTCTTGAAAGGTGACCAACAAACAGGTGACTCTGGGCGACGTCAAGCGGCTGCAGGGTTGGCTGGGCTCAGGGCTGAGAATGGCGCATGGCTAGGAAGGGGAGGAGGGCACTTCTTCCCAGGTTGATAGAAATGTTCTAGCATGTGGATTGTCAAGACTACTGTGTAACTCCGTAATTGCCTATAAAATCTCAGAGGTGTATGCTTAAGTGTGACTTTGGTGGCAGGTAAAACTGTACTCAAGTTTCAAATAGAGCAAGTGAATGTCAGGAGCCCCGAGGCACAGCGGTTCCTGTGCTCGGTGGCTAACTGCAAGGTGGGCACTACCATTCTCCTGATCTGCAGGAGAGAGAGGGGAAGGTGGGGGCTGTGAAGATCACAGCCCAGGAAGCCCCCAGAGTAGCTCCCTTCCTGCCTGCCAGGTCACTAAGAGTGGGACGGACTCGAGGGCACGGGGTCTTGATGTATATCAGATTTTACGAGTGACAAGTCATCAAAACAGATGAACATGAATACCTCCTCCCTTGAAACTCAGAGGAAGAAGAAGCAAAAAACAAACCCAACTCGCTGTGATGGAGACGTTTCTGACTCACGGTGATGTTGCAGGAGAGAATGGAACTGCCCCGGACATTTCCCCGATGCTAACTCTGTGGGAGTAGAAAGTCTCAGCTTTCCCAGAAGAGTGGCTGGCAGTTTCAAACTGCTGACCTTGAGATTAGCAGCAGCCCAACACGTAATCCACTCAATCCACCAAATTCCTAAAAGGCATACCAACCACTCCACCATAAGCCCCAGACCAAAGGTGGTCCGCTCTAGCTCAATGGGTCAGCAAACCTAGCTTCCCAATACAGCTCTTATGACAATCCATACATCACTTGTATCAAGCACATGGGTACACATGTTGCCATCATCATTTTCAAAACATTTTCTTTCTTTTTGTTTCATTTTATTGGGGACTCACAACTCTTGTCACAATCCATGCATCACTTGCATCTGCTGAATGTGTGCACATGTTGCCTTCATTCTCATTTTCTTTCTATTTGAGCCCTTGGTATCAGCTCTTCTTTTTTCCCTCCTCCCCAAGAAAATGCTTTGAAATTGATGGGGGCAGCAATTGTACAATTATGCTTAATCTAATTGAATTATGGATTGTTATAAAATATCATATGCATAATATAATTGTTATAAGAGCTCCCAATAAAATGATTTTTTAAAGTGCTAAATAGCGAGTTTTCTGGAACCTTGCAGCATCTTCGGGTCATGATTGTAATAAAGTGCGCGTGTTAGCACTCTGTCAAGGGGCTTCTGAATTCCTCGAGAACGCCAGGCCAGCGCGAAAATATGGTAAGCTGGGAATAATTCAAAGAAATGAAGATGCGCTTTTTTCTTCTCATTGAAAAACTGGATTTGGTCACACTTAAAACCTGCTACTTTTCTGAAAATTCAACCAGGCATTGATCGCTGCAGCCATAAAATAGCAGGGAGAGTGCATGGCAGATGCAGAAAGGAAAGCCGCAGAGCACCCTTGTTTTCGCCACCAGCTGCCTTAGAGTAGGGTGTCACACTGTCGGCCCGCAGGCCACATGTGGCCCCCGAGGTAATTTTTTGTGGCCCACGATGCTCTGAAGTAAAATGAAAATAGAAAGAAATTGTTATGAAGAAAATAGCGCTTAGGGGGGATCGAGGCAATACCGTACACACAATTCCCTCATTACATTTTATTTCAAAGCATGGTGGGCCACAAAAAATTACCTCAGGGGCCACATGCGACCTGTGGGCCGCCAATTTGACACCCCTGCATTAGAGAGCATCAGACACTAATAAACCGCCTGTATCAAGCAGGCCTTTCCCTCTGAGTCCCTGGGCCAGGTACTGTTGGCATAATATAGTCCACAAAGATAATGGGTTATGCATCCTACTTTAATGAGTTAACGACTGGGCCTTAAAGGCTCATAAGGTGCCACCACTGGTGTCTCTCTGTCCAGAGGGAAAAAGAGTGATGAACACCTAAACACACGTGTGAACAATTCATGTGATGGACTAATGGACCACGCAAACAGTAACCTCCACTTGAGAACAGATGACCTGGAGGGGGCATGGCTCCCATTATCAACTGCTCTGAAAAGGGTCACATTCGAAGGCCCCGGATTGAGTGGGCAGGAGCCCGGGGGCATAGTGGGCCATACACAGGGCGGAAAACTGCAGAGTCAGCAGTTGGAATCCACTGGCTGTTCCTGGAGAGAGAGAAGAGACCTTCGACTTCCCTCCAGAGTCTCGGAAACCCACAGGGACGGGTCGACCTGCCTTCCAGGGTTGTCATGAGTCAGAATTGACTAGCGGGCCATGAGTTCGAGTGTTGGTTTGGATAGAGTAGGGAAACCTCAAACCATGAAAGAAGAAACCAGGCTTACTGGCTGGACAGAGACTGATAGAACCCACCCCACCCTTCCACCCCCGCTAAAACGGGGGCCCTAGTCACCGTCAGATCTGGAGCTAAACGTACCCCCATGCTAGAATCATCAACTAATTACAGCAGAAGGCCGGTACTCGACCACATCAGTACTCGACATAATCGGATTTCGACACGACATGTTGAGAAAACTTTGCACAGAGCTTGAACAAAACATCGGAATCCAACCCGGCGCATGTGACTTCTGTAAGCAAAAGCAGTCCGTGTTTCAGTCACTTGGCGTTAGTTGGCGTTGTTGTATGTGTTGTTTAAACCTTTGTCAGGTGTGTTCCATGCCCTTAGCTATGATTGTCTTAGATTTTGTGGCTTTTTGTACTGTGTTAGATAAAAAACCTGGGCCCTAAGAGTTTTTTGAAAAGAAACATCATGAAAAGGAACTGGCTAACTGTGTTATTGATATTCTTGATGATAATAAACCCTTTTAGAAAACAGATAAGGAAACGCCAACAGCAGACCACGTTAGACAGATTTCCTTTTTTTTTTAGAGAAAGTCAGCCTGGTCCTAGTGAAAAAAGGCAAAGAAGGGGGAAAAACTCCTGCAAAGCAGCTACCAGTTCATTTTATGGAAGGGGATTCCCCTCCCCTTCCAAACACTGACTCTCTCTCCATCCCTCCTCTCCACATCCGCGTCCACAGATCCAGATCCTCATCAGTCTCAAGGGATGGGCCATACTGTAGTTGTCAAAAACTTTTTCAATGTTGTGTTTCTTATTTAAGTTATATTCTTCAACTCTGAACTTACTTACTTTGAAATTTCTGTGTAATGTTTTGTATAAAAAGGCAAGGTTAGTGTAAAAACTTGGTGGTTGAGAACGAATTAGTCTATTTTCATATTTCTTATGGGAAAATTGATTTGGAACTTGACTGCATTGCATCTCAATGCTCCTCCTAGAATGGACTGACGTTGACTCTGGGGTTCTACTGGAGGATCCAAAGGGTAACCTTTTCTCCAGGACCCAGTACAAGCAGAGAGGCAAGGAGGAAGGACGGGAACAGGAGACAAGGGGAGGAAGGGGAGGACATGATGAGGCCTTGAGGGGATTGCACTGAATGACCTGAAACAAAGTGTGTGCGATTGTCGAATGTACAACTGATGAGCTGCGCTGTAAACCTTCCCCTCACTCACAACAAAAGGTTCAGTAACGACAGCACTGTAAAAGGCCGTTCCATCAATGTTTGCAGGAAAGGACAAAGGAAATAAAAGTCTCACTTGACAGCATCTTGAACAAGTCAGCCAGTTGACCGTTCCCCACAAGCGCCAGTACACATCTCTCCAAGACTTTAATTCTTCAAAGAAGCTGTTCAAATACTCGTGAACATCCCAAGTCTTGTCTCTGGGAAAAGAACCACAACTGTTATCTTAGAAGCAAATGATACAAAATTTCAACTTCTTGATGTGATTGAACTATTGAATTGAGTGACAAGTGGATTATATGCCAATAAGACTGTTGGGGACCAAGATGTGTTTCAAACAGATGTGTTGAAAGCGTGTGGCTGCTTTCCAAGAACATTTCCTCAAAAGAGCGATGCAGTGTGGACGGCAGGGCAAGGTAGCTAACGCTGCCTTTGGGGGGTTATTCTGTGGACAACAGAAAAAGGGATGAAAAGTTCACTGTCAAGTTTTTTGGACAATCTAGATAAAGAGTTATAAATCAGCACACTAACCAGTGTGATCAGATGGGCTCAGGTAACAGGCATCAGAAGACACCAAACAAAAAACATATTGTTGAGAACAAGGCGGGTCAGAGCAGAAACCCCAAAACCATCTGCAGACAATGGTACATCCCCTCACAGAAAGGTCACAAGAAAGGATGAGTCAACCAGGGTGCAGTATATATAGCACTGATGAAACACACAATACTCTTCTGGTTCTTTGAGGCTTCCTCACCCCTCACGATCATGACCCCAGTCCTGCCTTTCAGTTCTGACTAGACTGGAGCATGTACTCTGGTACAGATAAGAGCTCATGACATCTGGAATCCAGGTCAGATAAAACTCAGAAACAGAAATGGAAGTAGTGGTCCCATGAGGGTAGGGGGAAGGTGAAGGGAGAAGGGGGAACTGATTGCAATAACTATGCATAACCCCTCCCCACAGAGGGGGAGGGAAGGAAATGTGGGTGAAGGGAGACAGTAGTCAGTATAAAATATAAAAACAACAATTCATAATTCATGAGGGTAGTAGGGTGGGGGGAGGAAGGAAAAAGGAGGAGCTGATACCAGGGGCTCAAATAGAAAGTAAATGTTTAGAAAATGATGATGGCAACATATGTACAAATATACTCAATACAAATGATGTATGGATTGATATAAAAGCTGTAAGAGCCTCCAATAAAATGCTCTTAAAAAAACAATCAAACAGTTGGGACTCGGGAATTCCTTGTTAAACAGACTTTTTATTATTATAATTCTGAATGTTATAAAATAAATTGAAGTAATTATTGCTGATTCTAAAGATTTCATGAATATACTAGTTCTTTATGTTCAAAAGACGTTTTCTAATAATTGAGTAATATAGTTCGGTATATAGACTAACATTTAGGTAATACACATTGTATAATTGATATGAAGTTAAAAATAGCAAAGATTTAAAATCAAATTTGCTATAGTCATATGCAATGCCAGTCCCTTCCCCCGCAACCCCTATTCTAATATTTAATTTTGCTACTTGTTTCTTAGTTCAACAAGTAACAAAATACCGTCAAACATTTCAAATGTTTTAATTATTTAAAAACCATTTAAAAATGTATGTATCACTAGCAGACTTTAGGAAAATACTTTGAATAAAGAACCAAAATTGAAGTTGATAGTCAGCTGAATCACTTTCCTCAAAATGAGTCCTGGTTTTAATAGAAGTAATGTTCAAAAGGTGAGTCAAGTCTCAAGACAAAAAGGAAAAAGAACGAAAACTTATGAAACTCCAGACTTGAAATAACTATGCAGTTCCTTGATTATCCTTAACTGTGCGAATGAGACATGGTGAAGTTGACTATGCTATATCCATATTAAGATCAAATGGCAAACATTTCCCTGTAATCAGAATGCTGCTCATATAAAATTTAGTACTGTAGGTTTTTTACAAATACAAGTGCTCTGCAGCTTGACCATAGAGAAAATAAAGTACAAAGAAAATCAATACAACCATAACAGTACCACCAGAGATCGTGTTTTTGTGAACATGAACATACTTCCAGTTTTGTGTCCTCACCTGTTCTTGCCACTCAATAGACCACTAACCACTTCCCATGTAATGATATCTTCTTCACCACATTCTTCTTAAAGGGTATCCATTAAAAGTCGATTAGATGTGTTCATATAGATATACTATTTTATGGATATAGAGGTGTACATTAACTCTACTTCTTTGAAATAGGGTGAAATCGGATGTTATGCAATTGGATTCTGCATGAACCCCGTATTACATACAGGCAATCCCTATAATAGCTCACCACCATGGAGTCACTTCTGACTCACATACCCTGTAGGGCAGTGACTCTCAATCTTCCTAATGCCACGACCCTTTCATACAGTTCCTCATGTGGTGGTGACCCCCAGCCATAAAACTATTTGCTTTGCTACTTCATCACTGTAATGTTGCTACTGTTATGAATCAGGCGACCCCTGTGAAAGGGTCAAACTCCAAAGGGGTCACAACCCACAGGTTGAGAATCACTGCTCTAGGACAAAGTGGAACTGCTCTGTGTTTCTGAGACTCTAAGTCTTTACGGGAGTACAAAGCCTCATCTCTCCCCCGTGGAACAGCTGTTGGTTTCAATGACGCAACAGGTAACCTGTGCTCCTGTTTAAGCCATAGTTCAATCTCTTTGAAGCCTGTTATGTTGAAACCTTATGGGAACCTGCCGGCCGAGTCTGAGAGCTACGCCCACAGGATATAGGAAGCGGGGCCTTGCAGGATATGTAAGATGAGGGCTGTGCCAGTTGTATCAGGATTTTGCACATGACCGGGTGCAGGGTGGGGTATATATGGGGACTCGCAGGCATAGGATGAGGAGAGGGCTTAGGGTGCCTGGGTACAGCAGGTGGTGGTGGCCCTGGCTGCTGCCACGCTGCTGGTGTGGCTGCTCCTTCATCATGTGCCCGCCCTGGGCTTGGCTGATGCCACCAGCACCTGCAGCAAGAGCAGAGGAGCCAGAGCAGACTCTGCCCAGTGCTGTGGGCAAAGGTCAGCAGAGCTGCTGGGTCACTGAATGAAGCCAGGAGAAGGGGGGTGGGAGAGGAGGAGGATGATCACTGTGGGGTTTTGGATGCACCCTGGATTCTGCTGCTGGCTCACTTGTGGATGGTCTTTAAAACCATTAGGGGAGGGAACTTTCTGGAACACGTCGAGACGGGCGGAGGAGCAGCAGGTACCTGGACTGTGCCCAGCGACCAACAACTTCCCACACCCCAACCCCAACCTTGGGCCACTCAACGGCTGTCGAAAATGGTGGAAGAAACCACGTAACACAATGGTTTTGTTTTGTTTGGGGGGGGGGGGGCCGGGCAGGGGTCAAACCCAGTGCCACCCAGGAAGAGCTGAAGAAAGCTTACAGGAAACTGGCCTTGAAGTGCCATCCTGATAAGAAATCCAAATGGAGGTGGAAAGTTTCAACAGATTTCTCAAGCTTATCAAGTGCTTGCTGATGCAAAGAAAAAGGTAATTATCTGAAGAGGCCATCAAGGAGGGTAGCGCAGGTGGTGGTTTGGGTTCCCCGATGGGCATCTTGGGTGTGTTCTTTGGAGGTGGTGGAGGACGAAGAGAGAAAGGAGAGGGAAAAACCTTGGGCATCAACTCTCAGTAACGTCAGAGAATTTCCATAAGGGCGCTGCAGAAAACCAGCTCTGCAGAAGAGTGTGGTTTGAGACAAATGTGAAGGCCGAGGTGGGAAGGAAGGGGTTGTCCTAATTGCCAAGGACTGGAACGCAGCTATGGCTTCATCAGCGAGGACCTGGAATGGTTCAGCAGATTCAGTCTGTGTGCACGGAGTGCCAGGGCCACCGGGAACAGAGCAGCCCTAAACATGGACGTGAAAGTTGCAATGGCAGGAAGACAGTTCGTGAGAAAAAGGTTCTAGTTCACAATGACAAAGCCATGAAAGATGGCCAGAAGATAACATTCCATGGTGGAGGAGACCACGTATGAGTCTGGACTGGAGTCAGGAGATAATATTGTTCTAGGTCAGAAGGACCATGCTGTTTTTACAAGAGGAGGAGATGTGTGTGGACACAGCTGGTGGAAGCCAGGATCCACCCCTCACAACTGAACCAGTCATCACGTCTCATCTGGATGAGACAGTCAAGTGTGGGGATATTGACTGGGCCATGCCGAGTTATCATGGACCATATGAAAAGGGGTATCTAACTGCTGAATTGAAGGTGAACTCCCCTGTGAATGGCTTTCTCTCTGATGATAAAACTCTCTCTGCTGGAAAAACTCCGACCTGAGCGAAAAGGAAGCAGAAGAAACTGATGAAATGGAGCAGGTAGAACTGGTGGACTTTGATCCCAAGCAGGAAAGGCGACGCCATTATAATGGAGGAGTGGATGAGGATGAAGGCCGCCATCTCTGGGGTGGGGTCCAGCCAGTGTCAGCCCTCTCAATGGGGCCAGTATATATCGCTCACCGCTGGCATCTCATACGCAGTAGTGAATAAGTGAAGGACTGTAATCATAATATGCTCTCTACTTGCTACTGGGAGGAGTGGGCGGGGCTGGGCGGGCTCTGCTCTGGTACCTCTGCTGCCCCCTCTGCACTGCTGCCTGCACCTCTGGCTACACCAGCAGTGCCAGCAATGAGGAGGGCAACCAGCAGGGGGACTCCCACAATGGTGTAATGTGGAGTTCACACAACACCCAAATCAACACGTCTTATTTCACAGATGGACATGAAGTGGCCCAAAATTGCATTTTCATGTGTTTAATCCTTTGAGCATCTAGGTGTTTGCTTCATTTATCTATTCATTTGTTCTGCTACTTTAATACAGCAACATAACCTCTCCGGAAAATTCTCTGCAGCAGGATGGTGTCCAAGGATACATACATTTTAAAGCATCTTCTAGAAAGAGTGTACCAATATATACCCCCAGCCCCACTCCTAGTGCCACCAACCCAAAATGAACGCGTTTTGTACTTTAAAGGGAAAAAGAGGGGAATGGATAGCCGACAAAATATGATGCATTTATATATACATTATAGACAAGCCGATTTAAAAGGCAATTCTCCTTACTTGCTAAAATTCACATGTAAGTAAAATTGGTTCTATCATAAAATTCAATACAATTATATAGATAACTAAGATCTGCTCATGAAATTGTATTTTAATTGTGGTGACCAAAATATATTCTCTTTCATGATTAATACATAATAATGTTTATTATTTTACAGCTCCAAAATACTGTGAAATTTAGTCAGTAAGTAAAATATACCTTTCACAACTACCTTAGTTTGCCCTGAAAGCAGCATCCTCCTAAATCTAAGTTGGATCACAAGTGAGAAAAGATGCTCTTCCGTTCCTTAAAGGTGCAGTTAGGCTTTTATAAATACACTAGAAATTCACATTAAAAAAAAATTGTATTTTATCTTCACTCTACCTTAGGTGAATATAGATAATATTTCCATGTTGATCCACATTGATTTTTCCAGGAATGCAAGGAATTCTTCTTTCTGTTTCCTTTGTTAAAAGTTTCTTACATAAATAGCATCTACAGCACAAAGAAAATGTGAAAACATTCAAGAAATTTTAAGATGCTGTAGGAGTCAAGAATTTAATTGTAACACACAGCCCCCCAAGGAAGAACCCATCACTATACCGATATAAGGTGGCTGCGTTACCGCGAGAATCCGGGTTCAAGTACTCGGGATCAAAGAGCCTCTCAATCTTCTTACAGAACAGTTTACTATTAACAACAAACAACCAAGAAATTAATTTCCCGCCCTTGTTACCAAGGTTGTGTGATGTTGACGTCAACACAGTCCGTCTGTCTGTGCCCGGGCAAAACAGGGTGAATGATCCTAGGAGAGTTGCTCTTCTACTACATTCTGGCCTTCTACTAAGGAAAGAAATCTATGAATGAGAACTGCTTGTTCCACAACGTGCTTTTAAGAGAAAGTAACACTGACAGCTAGCTACTTATCTTTAAGCATGCCCTTTGCTGCTGTAAAAAAAAAAAGGTTATCATTTAGAGTGTTGCAGATACAAGGATAGACAAAGACACGAACAGAACAAACAGAGAACTCACAGAGAGACCTCGTGAGTGCAGGCCAGGCTCCCAGCAAAGCTGTCGCTGAAACCCCACGGAGGAAGAACAGCCTTTTCAGTAAGCGGTGCTTTTGGCAACTAAGCAATTACTAGGAGGACAGTGAGTCTTGGCGCGTACTTGGCACCACAGCAGCAATGCAGTCGAGCCAGATTACAGAGACAACGTCGGCGAGTACCTCCGCCACCTTGAGTTCGCCAAGACAGCGTTGACGGAACACAAGACACACTAACCTCGCTTAAACTTGAAATTCTATTTTACACCCTGACCTCCATCCAGACTCGTATGCCCACCTGGACGTCCAAGAGGCGTATTCAATAATACTCTAAAAGACCCACCTCCTGATCCCTCTCACTCTCATCCTACCCCTCTCCATCTGGCCTCGCTCTGTAAATGGGCACCACCAAGTTCAAAGCCCAGTAACTGTCCTTGAATCCTCTCTCCACTGTTCCATCACACACCTGTAAAGTCTCTCAAACATACCCGGCAGCCATCTGCTGCTTCCCAGCCCCATTGCCTCTACCTGAGTCCCCTCCTAGCCCCTCACGTGCTCACTCGCTTGCGCTCCGTGACCCCCACAGCCTGTTCTCCACGCAGCAACTAGAAAGGTTTTTTAAAACTAAGGCAAGCCGTGTTCTTTCCCTGCTTCCAATCACACCTAACATACAATTGATGCTTCTTGCCCTGGCCCCAAACATCCCTAAGTGATATGTTCAGTGCCCGCCTCCTCCCATGCCGCTTTCCCCCCTACATAAAAGCCTGCCTTCATCACCGTTTACACACTTCACCTCTACAGTAGACTCAGACGCACGTTATACAAAGTAACCTATTCCGTTCCTCATGTTTATTTTGAGCCACTGGCTCTGGATAAGTTCTGCATCACTTAAGACATACTGGAACATAAGCAGCCTGGTGGCACAGAGGGTTAAGCTTTGGGCTGCTAACCACAAGACATACTGAAACAAAAGAGCAATCGTTTTCTTTGAACAGAAAGATCAGGTCAAAACTCAAATTTTAAAAAGTACCTCCTAAACTTATCTTTCTTGTCCTTTAAATCCTCCACTTCATTGTGTGTGAACAGATCGGCTATCCGAGTGAGAAGATTTGCGTTAACGCAGTTCATATTGCACGGCGTGGCGACGATGGCGTCCATGTTTTGGTGGCAATATTGAATACACTGTTCAACCTGACAAAACAGAGAGCAGAACACGGGGGTGGAAACACTTTTCACAGAGGGAAAGTCACTAAGCACCTAAACCACGGGGTCGCAAGTGGCCAGCAGGCTACACAGGCACATCAACTGGCAAATAATTTTCAACCTCCTTATTTAAATCATTAAGTGATCACGCCACAGGCAGTGGCAAGGAGAAGCATCAGCCCACCGACTCAAATAGACAGGATACTTGACTTCATAATTCAGAAAACCTCGTGACATTCTAAGCCTCCGTGTCTCTGGGTGGCAGAAATAAAATTTCAGGATTTCCTCCATTGTATCAAGTTCGTTCATTCTTCTGGCAGTCAATGGTCCGCTAAATATTCTCCAGCCACACCATCGTTCAAGTGCATCCAGTGTCTAGTCCTCCTTGCCCACTGTCTAGCTTTCACGGGAAAGTGACATGACGGAAAATACCAGGGCTTGGGTCAGGAGCACCATCACCCTGGTGCTCTTGGAGACTTTAAAGGGGCCTTTTGTGGCAGATTCCCCCAACACAACACGCTAGTTTATTTCTTGACTGCTACTGCTTTGCCCAGTGGTGTTGTGGGCTGTGTGTTGGGCTGCTAACGGCAAGGTCCTCAGTTCGAAACTACCAACTACCGCAAGGGAAAACGATGTGGTTTTCTGCTCCCATAAGGAAACCCACAGGGACCGGTCTACCTGTTATCTAGTCACTGTGGGTCAGGATCGACTTGGCAGAAGTATGCAGTAGTAGTTAGCTTCTGTCCACCATGTTGGTGGAGCCAAGTAAAATGAGCTCTTTGACAGAAAAAAAATCTGATTTGTTGGTCTGGCTGTAAGGATTTTTGTTTTAGTTTGAGGGGTAATTCACACTGAAGGGTTTAGTCTTTGATCTCTATCAGCAAGTGCTTCATGGCCTCTTCACTTTCAGCCAGGTTGTGCTCTCTGCGAATCATAGGAGGTCCCTGAACCTTCCTCCCATCCTGAGGCTGCCCTCCTCTTCCTGCAGTCCAGCTTCTTGGATTATCTGCTCCGCATATGGATTGAATAACTAACGTTGGCTAATCGTATATTCTTCTGAAAAATTTTTGTTTCCAGCATAAAAATTATTCTTTAGGGGTGAGATTGCAAAGGAAATAAAAAAATTTTTAAGTGTCTTGTTTTTTAAGTTTCCGCTTTTTATTTTTTCCTGTAACTCTTTCCGGAGGCAATGGATACCAGTTGACTGAATGGGGAAGGTTCTACGACTAGAAGCCTTTATTTATAGGGGGCTAATAACAGGCCAAGCAATCAAATGAAGCAACGTGACATCAGTTAACATGTGTAAATGAGTATCGCACACTGTGTAGTGTATTAAGAATAGGAAGCAAACATTTATTTCAAATAAAGCTTAAAAAACATATAAAACATTTAAATGATAAGTAAATCTACTTTTTAAAACTCAGTTTGAAAAGTACAGGCATATACTGTGCTGTTTTGCATCATCAGCTCCTTGGAAGCAACAGGCATGAGCGTGTGAGACACAGAAAATGCCATTGTTTACTACTTGGCTAGTCTCACTCTCATCCCCTCAACTGTGAATGAGAGGCACAAACAGGCAAAACATACTTAAAGAAATTAAATAGTGAAACAAATACATTCCCCTTAAATGCTTCGCTCAATTTGGCTCTAGAATGAAATCCCTTTCCAGGATGGTTAACCTGTAAGTCACTCTTGAGGCAGCTTACTCGAGCAATTCTGACTCACAGTGACCCCATAGTTACAGTGCATGCATCACCCTGCCAGGCCTGCCCCCCACCCCCACCCCACTTTGCCCCCAGGCTGGGAACAACATCCCTTCAAATGTGAGCTGTAGGTTCCAAGGAGCTCACACTTGTGAATGAACAACTGTTTTAGCACGTTGTTGTAGAATTTTCTATATACTTGGAGGAAAAACCCAAGCATACCTGTGAAAGAAAGCAAAGGTGAATAAAATGAGCATGGGTCTTTTATGAAAACTTACCAATGAATCCATTTTCAGAAACTCCGAGGAAATAAGAATAGAAACGACATTTCCTGGCTCTACAAAAAGAGGGGAACAAAATTAATTTTGCCTTTTGATTTGTCACTGGATCCCCCTAGAAGAGACTCCTGCTCACCATCAAGGGAAGGCGTTCTGCAAATGTTACTCTAAGGAAACAGTGTCACACAGACTCACTGTGCCACACGGCTCACTGCAAAACCTAGAGTGCAGAGTAAACGCTCAGTAAAATTTCCCGGGAATTCGATCCAGATCAAGCGAAAAGACTCCAGCTAAAGATACAGCAAATTGAAATCTTAACTAAAGCAGGAGGTAGGGCACAGAAGGTTAAAAAAAAAAAAAAGGAGTAAAAAAAAAAAGGAAACTATAACTCATTGTATGAAAATCAGGCCGAGAAAATGATTAAGGAGTGCCCTTGCCATGAATGAAATTATTTCAGTGCTTCTAAACAAACATTCAATTATGTATCACATATATATAACAAGAGTACATACAGAATTTTAAATGTGTGTTTGAACAAACATTTGTCTATGGAACAAGCATTTAGGTGCATTCTTATGAGGAAATGTGTAGTGATAAGAAACGGAATGGTAAGGAAGCATTCACGACTTCAAAGACGCTGGGCATATTTCCCAAGGGCAGCCTGGGTGGGCAGGCCATCAGAGCGAGAGAGCGGGGCACAGGCGGGTATAACTGTTTCGGCACAACCTCATCACCTCCCATGAGGCCTATTTAAGAGGGAAGGAATAACTGTCCCTGATAAGGAGCCCTGGTGGTGCAGCAGTTAAGTATTAGGCTTCTAAGTAAAAGGCTGGGGATTCAAACCCACCCTTCAATGCTGGGAGAGAAAGACCTGGAGATTTGCTCCTAAGAAGATTTCAAACACAAAACACAGCAAGGCCAGGTTCCAGTGGCTCCCAGGGTTTCCAGGACTGTCTATCTTTCTGGAGGCAGACTGCCACATCTGCCTCCTGCAGAGTGGCTGCTGGGTTCCATGACCCCTCCTGCCGTTAGCAGTCAAGTGCTGAATCGCTGCGCCACAAGCGTTCCTTTCCGTCAAAAGGACAGCCCAGAATCCCAAAGGGGCAGGTGGTACTCTGTCACATGGAGTCACTACCGAGGGAGATGCCTACATGACACCCAGCACAAACGGTACAAAAGTAATACTTCCAAATGTTTAAAATCAGTAACCCCACCTTTCCCTAAATAGTCACTCTGAAAACTAAGGGAGCTTCAACAGAAAGCACCAAGGCAGACTAGGGCTGGTGAGAAAGTGCCCCAAGGTAGAAGTCATATACCCCGGCCCAGTTGAAAGCCCATGTCGGAGATGATTAGATTTAATTGAGCATTTTGGTAGTTTTCCTGATCAGATTAAAGATTGCTTTGGGAAAATGTAGATTTATGGCTACCGATTTAAGTCAAAGCTAACAGAGCTTCACTGCTTATATCTCTACTACATAACTCTGTTGGAGTAAACACAAGTGATTTTTTTTTTCTTTTCAGATTTTTATTTCACATATACATATCATAGTGGATGGTCTGGAATCTCTAGACTGACTGAAAATTGCGATTTAACGCTCTTGCAATGTTTAGCTAAGGGCTCCTAGTACCTTTTCCATTTAGTGGTCAGTAAAACCAAAACCTTCAGCGGCTCAGTCAATTCTGACTCATAGGGGCCCTGGGGGACAACACAAACTGTGTATCCCCCAGGGTTTCCAAGGCTGTCAATCTTTATGGAAGGAAGCAGACTGCCCCAACGGCCTCTTAAGCAGCGGCTGGTGGGTTTGAAATGCCGACCTTTCAGTTAGTAGCTGAGGGCTAAAACCACTGCCCACCAGGGCTCCCATCTGGTCCCTAGAACATTAACAATCATAAATCTCTTCAGAAAACATATACACGGTCAATATAGCTAGCTTGCTTCCTAATATATTTTGAAATCTTCTGTTACTGTTGTAAATAGTGCACTCAACAACTTTTACTAAACTGCAAGTGCTATCTCCTAATAAGTGCACATTTAGTCAAAGACTACTTAGTCACTGTTCTTTCTATCATCTCCAACATGTTTTTCAAACTTCACAAACTGAACCACCAAGGATTTTCAAGCCCAATACCCAGCCAGTTGCTGTTTAGTCAATTTTGACTGATGCAGGGTTTTCAAGGCTGGGAAGGTGGGAAGCGAAACACCAGATCCTCCTTCTCAGGGCCCTCTTTCTGGATCTGAACCTCCAACTTTTAAGTTAGTGGTCGAGTTCTTAACTGTGCACACCACCCAGCGACTCCCACGACAGTTCTATCGATCGATAGTTATCATGTTAGAAATGAAGTTGGAAAGCAAAATTAATATGTAGTTCATTTTGAAATAAGAATAAATTCACAACACAAATAACATACTTTTAGGGGGAAAAAAGTGTCTTTTCCCCAAACGAAAAAAAAAAAGAAAAAAGAGCAGTAAGAGTCTCACTGTTTTATGCTGCTGTGTATCTCAATGTTTGGCTTAGTAGGCAATAATCCGATGCATGTGTGCATTCTGTAATATACCAAAATTTGACAAGTGGTCGTTTCTTAAAGGTTAGTTGCAATATGGGATCTGAAGTCATCCCAGGGAACCTTTCCTACATCGGTGCATCAACCCCCCGGGACACCCTGGACGGATCTCAGACCCACACGTGATGTTAAAACATCTGGCGCTGCCCAGTTATTAAACCTTGGCTTGTGCCGTTGTACAGCTCTTCTGAGTGTTACCCATTTGGTTAGACGGGGTCAACTTTAAAAAGCACAGTCGTTAACAGGGTCTCATCACATCAAAATAATCTCATCAGGAAAGTTAGTCATTTTGAGAAGCTCATGAAAGCATCTATGAGACTTCCAAAACGCTAGTTCTCCCTCTAAGCCAGGATTTTACCATCAGTCACAAAAACTCTCACTTTCAAGGAAATGTCTCGCATACTTGGTAACCAGTTTCACCTGCCAGCCCTACTCTCACAAAGCACAAATGGGCTTGAGAGCTGCGCCGCCCTCCAGACGACCCTCCTCCTTTGTTGAGCAACTGAGCCACGAGGGTAAGTCAACCAGTATCGCCGCCAAACTGCAGAAACCTTTATTAAAATAAAAATCTCAACGTGTGAAGCTACTGATTTTCCACCGATCCTCAATCGAAATCTATACACTCGAGTGGGATTTCCATTTTTTTTAACCAACCCTTCCCCAAAGAATTCTGTCAGGCTCTTTGATTTACATCATCACAGGCAATTTCAACGGCCTCAAGGGACATTCCTTTTTTCTCCTTTGAAACGTTCCTTGAATTCTGGGAGCAAACAGAAGTCTAAAGGGGCAAGATGAGGGCTATAGGAGAGATGGGATAAGGATTCCCAATGAAATTCTCGTAGGACAGCGCTTGCTACCCAGATGGTGAACAGGTGCACTGTCGTGATGGAAGCAAATTCCCCAGAGCAATTTCCTAGCCTTTTTCTCACCAACGCACTCTTCAATTTTCTTGAAACTTTTCTTAATAAGGCCCCAAAATCATTCTGTGTCCTCTGAGGAAATCCATCAAGCCTACCCTCTTGGGATCCCAAAATCAGTCGCCATAACCTGAGCTGACTTCTCTGTCTTGAAGTTAGCAGATCTCTTTGGAAACCGTGTTTCTGATTGGACCATTTATTAGAAATTACCCAAATGAGATTAAGACAAGTGTACTTCTGGGAAAACTTGGTTGCAGCCATCCACTGACCAGAGACTTGGAATCAACTTGTGCGTGTGTCAAGTAGACATGCATCAAGTGCAACTCTGGCAGCAATACTTTTTGACTCACCCTGGTACGTATAGTGCATCACATCAAATAGTAAAAGGATCAAATAGTAAAAGGATGAATATTCAATGGCCAAGCTTTAGAAAAAGGAGCAATTTTCACTGCTTCATCAAGGAAACTGCCATCTTTCTCTTTTCCCTTTTGGACTATGAGTGCATGGGCTCTAAGAGCCCAAACTGAGCCAGCACAGTGTGGGTCACACGAAGGCCCCAACCACGTCGGTTGGTACCTCTTGAGCAAAAGTCAACAGAGAGACAAAACAAGTCCCATCTTCACAGGATCACAAATATCTCTTAACTGTAGCCTCTCTGAAAAGGTCTCTGAAAACCTCGGGGCCCACACACCACAGTTTAAGAACTGCTGCCCTCGAGATTTCCCCTTTGCCATGAATTCACAGAAAGGGGACGAGGTATCTGTTTCTTAACATGCTGTCACTCATCTGAGCTTAAAAACTGACGTGCATACAATTCTCCACATTCCATTTTTGGCTTGAAGGAAGTACCAGGTGACAAACAAATTTCACTACAAAAGAAGCAATAGATGTCTTGTTTACCTAAAGTGGGCCTCTCACACTCTTTATTCTCCTTAGTGTTCCTTTTAACATAGTTTATCAACCAGTTGAAGATGTGAACATCACAGTGGACCGAAATGTCCACCTCTTCCCAGCGCTGGGCATCCATAGATAAATATTCAGCAAAGTACTTCATTTCTGATATCAAAAGATCTCGTGGGCAAGTAAAATCTTCTTTCAAATTTTTGGCTTCATCACATACATGGATCACCATATTTGGCCTTCACAAAAAATGTTAACATAGAAATGAAATTATTAGAGTTTTAGAAGAGGAGCCAAGAATACTGACTTTTTTTGGGGGGGAGGCTTTGCATAGCTATTGGTTTTATAAAACATGACAATTTTTAAATTTTGAAGTATTCTGCTTATCTCATATCTTAGATTGACTAATTATTAGTAAGCTATTGACTTCATGAAATGAATAAGTTTTTCCTAAACGACTGACAAACTACGTGATTTAAAATTTTTTTTCAAGTTGCAAATGAATATAATTTACAAAAAGAGTATGAATTCACACAAAAAAATTAAATGATGCATTCTGATTCTTGTGAGAAACACAAAGTCATGGTTATGAGTGTGGATGGCTTTGATAAAGGTTCAATATTAAAATTTTCCTACTACTTAGTAAAAGCAGTCACAACTACAGGTGTTCACTAACGAGCAGAAGCCTTAGCATTGGTTCTTTAGCTACTTGTCAGAGTCAGAATTTGCTTCTGGGCGTTCATTAAATATAACTTAGTAAATGTGGCTCAAGTAATTCTTAAGATTGCAGTAAGTTTATTTATATATGTCAAAAGCCATGCATGAGCAGTGTTAGATGATCTATCAGAGAGACTGCTTTAAAAATCATATACTTCTTAATTTACTTTCCCCTGAAGATTGTATCACCTCAAAAACATATATCAATGTATGTGTATCTGCACTCATATGCCACTACAAAAATAATAAGGTGGTTGAGAGACACTGTCCTACAACTCGGTCTCCAAGTCGATTCTAACTCAGCGCAAGCCTGCCGGACAGAGTGGGTTTCAAGGCTGCACATCTGCACAGGAGCAGACAGCCTCCCCTTGCTCCTGAGAAGTTGTTGTTGGGTTCTAAGTGCCAATCTTACGGTTCAGCAGGCCAATTTATAATCCACCGGCCGCCAGGGCTCCTGCAATATTTGTGTAGTGTGTGTTTAACTGACCTTTGGAAGTTAACAATACAGAACACTTACACTCGAAATAAAAGCAGGCTGTTAGAGAAAGGATTCTAAGCAATGCTCTGTCAAAGTCAAAGGAATTTATAAGTTCACAAAAACAAATTTATGGGACTTCGTTTTCTTTCAAAGAAATGACAGTTAAAATATAAACCAGCAACAGCTAGTAAAATAAAGTTTCTGTGGTCTTTGGGAACACAACATTAAATAATAGTATATCATTTTAGCAAAACAACCCCCAAAAACCTGACAAATCCATCAGTCAAAAATCTATGTAAATAAACCAAAAACCATGGAATTGTATATTTAAAGGGTACATTGTACGGTTTCATGCATTATATCTCAGCAACACTATTTTTAAGGAAGAAGCAGGTGCACGAAGGGAGTGTCAGGGAGAAACACAATGTCCCTATCTTGACTCGGGTGGTTACATGGGGAGCATGTTGTCAAAGGTCATTACAATGAATGCCTGAAACATATTCATCTGACTACACATCTAGGATATGATCAAAATATCAAAATTCAATACATTGTAACTGTTAAATGTTTCAGTAATTATATTCAAGTAGTCCCAAGACACACATCCAGTTTCCTTAGAAGATAGAGAAATCATGGCACAGAGGTTTTTCTTTAGGGTTTACCTTTTACCTCTCAAGGTTTTATGTAAACGGACGTTGTTTCTAATATTTATGCTTCGAAAGTCACTTCTGAAAGCGGTAAACTACAGCAGAAGTTTCAGTAAGGATGTGACTAGGTCACAGAGTTAGGCAGCAAATAACTTTAAGGTTCACCATCGGGCACGAAGCTGATTCCAAGAGTTTTAGCAATCGTGCAGTGGGTGATGATTTCTATAACCACAATCACATACGTCAAAGTTTAATATTTGATAGTTCATCTAGAAACAACCAGCCTCCTACCCTTCAGATTCTTCCGGCTCTTCTCCACCATTGTGAGTAGTACCATTTTCACTGTCTGAAGAACAATTCCGTGTGGAAGCTATACTATGTCTTCCTTAAATCCAGAAACAAACACATACAAAACAAAAAGGGGAGGTGTTAGCGCGGCGGGCTCAGAGCAGGCGTGACTTACTGAGCGGTGATACTGTCAATGCATAGGATGGCGGGCGGGTTAAGGGGAAGCACTAGTCAGGGAGCAGTCTCCACTAACAGTCCTAGCAGCGTATGGAAACACTGTAACCCCCCCCCCAAAGAAATAAAAAGTTACCAAATTACTAATATTACAAACGAAATGTTTTCTAAAATACATTTTTAAAATGTATTGTTGTGTATAAATATAAATCAAATGTTCAAAAGGCAACAGTATAGTTCTTTCTTCCCAAAGCAAAATGTTGATCAATATTTCTGTGATGAAAGTAATCACTATGCTCTGAGAAGTTCTAAAACCAGTTATCATTTCCAATGTTATTGCAGAAAACATCTCTTCTACCTCGCCACCAGGTCACTTAAGGCTACTGTTGACTGCAACAAAGGGCCATTGTAAAAAAGGCGACAGGAAGGAGGAGCGAGAGTCTCCCAGAAACAGCAACAGCAACGAGAGCGCATTAGTCAAATCCCTTTAAAACAAAGCCAAAAAACACCCACAGGAAACAATGATTAGTACCTCAAGCACAGAGGTCGAGGACTAGAGTGGGAAGTTTGTTATCATAAAGGACTTTTTGGTTGTAGTCTTTGATCTTTATGTTAAAACTTAAAAATGAAAAAAAAAATAGCACAGACAGATCATCATTTGTTAACTTCAGGAAGATAATCGATTTTTCTGTGAATATTTAGATTGCTCTTTGAACAAAGTGCAAAAAGTTGACAGTAATGTATAACATTTTGCAGAATCATCTTAAAGCAAAGTACCACCTTTTGTTTGAAAAGCTCACCTGTTTTGGACCCTGCATCCTGACTCCCAGGAGCCTCCTGAAGGTCTCCGTGTGTATCAAGAAGCGAGGCTTTGATATATGTGGCTAATGTTTCCACAGGACTCTCGCCCGTAGCCATGAGAGCATTATACTGGTTGTCCACAGGTGAGCTTCCACTGCTCTTCAGCTCATCAAATCTTTTCGCACACTGTCATAAAGCAAGAGAAATGGAGGTGTTTTTGTTTTTCAAGATAAAAAAAGAAATAGAAGGTTTCCTGGCCTTTTATTTTCAAAGCATGTGGCCTCATCTTTCTGGCTGGCCATGTGACAAGACACAGCGAAAGCCTTAAAAACACTCAGGCCCCCTGCTTCCGAGATCATCCCCTAAGAACAGGACTATGTGTTACAGGGTGTTTGAAGTCATCAACAACAGCCTAAGAATTCAATGCAAAGTAATGTTGTTCAATACAGGTAAAATTTAGAATGACATGATACCATTAAATATTACGGAAGCCACAGACATGAAGATGCTTACAATACGTTGTTCTGGTTAAGGGTCACTAGGTCAGGTCCAGACTCATAGTGACTCCATTTACAGGGGAATGAAAGACTACCTGATCCCCCATCACTCATTGATTGGTTTTAAAATGAATCACATGGTCAACAGAATATTCACTGGCTGATTTTCAGAAGTACACTCCCAAGTCGTTCTTCCTAGTCTGTCTTAGTCTGTAAGCTCTCCTGAAACCTGGTCAGCATCACAGCAACACAGATGCCTCCACTGACAGACAGGCCAGGAGGCAGGGAGCCCTGGTGCACAGAGGCTTACACATTGGGCCACTAACTAAAGGTCAGCAGTTTGAAACCACCAACTGCTCCATGGAAGAAAGATGAGGCTCTTTGCTCCTGGAAAGATTTACAGTCTTAGACACCCTGTTGGCTTGCAATGCTTTCTACAAACTCATGGAAGCAAACCAAATCCATTGCCATCGAGTCAATACCAACTCATAGTGACTGTACAGGGCAGGGTAGACAGTTCTTTCAATACCTTAAAAAAAGTTGGGTGTTTTTTTTTTTAACAGTTTCATTGGCTACTTCACTCATCATGCAATTCAAGAGTTATGCAATCATCGTCACAATTTTAAAACATTTCTTTCTTTCTTGTACTCATTATTACTAGTTCTCCATTTCCTCTCACATTTTCTTGCCATGCTCCTAAGAAACTATTAACGTTACAGTCGCTATAAATTTATCTGTCCTGGATTTCAAATAAAGGAGAACACACACACACACACCGAAGCAAACCAAAATAAAACAAAAAAACTCCAATAACAATAACAAAATAAAATAGAAAAACTTCAATAAAAAAGAAAGTAGAAGAAAAACTAGAACAAATTTAAAATGGGTCATAAGGGAGAACAAATGATCACTTGTTAAATTTTAACCTAACTACATCTGCATCACTGCACTCTACCTGACAGTGAGGCTAGTCTCATCCCTGGTCAATGGTCAGAGGGGATAATTCACTGCACTTAATAAACAGCGGGGGGTGGGTGGGTGGGGGGGGGCTGCAAATGCATTTAGAGCCCTTTAATACAGTTCCTCATGTTGTGGTGACTCCCCCAACCATAAAATTATTTTCGTTGTTACTTCATAACTGTAATTTTACAACTGTTATGAATCGGGCGACTACTGTGAAAGTGTCGTTCGAACCCCAAAGGGGTCGCAACCCACAGGTCGAGATCCGCTGATTTAGAGCTTTGACTGTCATCTACCGCCTTCTGCAAACCAGGTGCTCAGAATTTAAGTTCTAATACCATTCCCTCCTCTAGTCTTTTTATTCTTTAAATGGTACAGGCTGGTGTGCTTCTTCTGTGTGGACCTAGCTGATACCTCACTTGGATGGCTGCTTAATTCCATTTTTCCAGGAACTTTTTGAAGCCCCCTTGTATATACCATTATATACACTATTATAACTAAGTTGATATTATTCAAATGAAGATGGTTGTAAATTTAAAGTGTTAAGTGTCATCTCCAAGGTAACTACAATGAAAATAACTTTAAAAAGTATAAAAAAGAAATAACACAACTGAAATAGTACACTAAAAAATTCAACAGAATGAAAACTGAAGCAGTAATGGAGGAATGCAGGCACTCCGGGGTGCAGTAGTTAAGTGCTCAGTTGCTACCTAAAAGGTCGGACATAAAAAACAATAGCTAGATGGCGGAAGTAAATCCTTCCTTATTAGTAATTATTTTTGATGCGATTGGATTAAACTCCTATTAAAAAGGCAGACTGGGTAAAAGAGCATGGTCCATCTATATGTTATCTACAAAGAATTCTCTTCAGATACAAAGACACGAGGATGTTCAAAATGAAAGAATGAAAAGTATATTCCACAAAAGTAATAACCAAAAGAGAGCCAAGGTGGCTATATTATTGCCAGGAAAAAAGACTTGAAATTAAAAAAAAACAAATATGAAATGCATAACCCTTTTGAAAAAATTCAAACCATTGAATTGTATGATACATAAGTTATATGTCAATGCAATTGTTAAATATCAGCAAAATAATAATAATTTTAAAAGCACATGAAATCTTATCAGCCAATAGGTAAATGCAGATCAGAACCACAATGATTTATCACTTCACACTTACTAATATGGCTGGTTATCATTAAAAAAAAAAAATCCAGTACGCATCAGGGAGCAAGTGGAGAAAGTGGTAGAAATATGAAAAGATGCGGTTACTCTGGCAAACAGTACGGTGATTCCTCAAAAAGCTAAACATTAAATTCTCTTCTCACTCACAGCACCCCTAGCTACACCATGCCCCAAAGACGCATACACAGAGACGCACACACTGGCCTTCTTGTAATCAAAGTTCACAGCAGCGTTACTCACAATAGCCCAGAGATGGGAACTACCCAAATAACTGTCAACAGATGAACGCATGGATAAGGAAAATGTATAAAACCAAATAAACACACTGAATACAAGACACGAAAACTTGATACACAATATGGCATGAGGGAACTCAAAGTGAAATAAACCAGACACAAATGGGGGTAGGAAGATAATATGGTCTGGTGGTTACATCATCTGTTGTCAATTTGGCACTTTAGAGGATTAAGAGTGACCGAGTGGAGTCTAGTCTGTCAACTGGGTCATAGCCAATGAGGCCTCTGTGCGGATATGGCCTGCTCCTGAGAATTCTGGGAAATCCAGTGTTTCCTCCTTGGAGACTGGAGACACCCATGTCTCTCTCTCTCTCTCTCTCTCTCTCTCTCTCTCTCTCTCTCTCGGCTTACTTCCTTGGAGACTCTCTACTGACTCCCTGTGAGACATCCTGAGGAGAAGCCACATGTACCTACCCTGATGTAACCAGAACCCTGGACCTGGAGAAGCCACGTGGAGACTCCTACCAGCGCTGAGATGCTTATAACGCCACTGGAGTTTTACAAAACTTCCCACCCACTGGCCTGTGATCTCCCTGCATTCAGCATCATTGCATGTGTTTCGTGAGTCAGACGAGGACTTTATAGAGTGGTATTGGACATATGAGCTAATATCAGACTTATGGACTTCATCTGGACTGGGCTGAGATGTTTTCTTAATGTACAGTTGCTCTTGTACATAAAGCTCTTTCTTATACAGATGAGTCTCCCTGGATCTGTTTCTCTACTCTACCTGGACTAACTAGCCATGACAGGGCTAAGAACTGAAAGTGAAAGAATCCAGGCTGAAAGGCACATGGCAGTACAGGCTGAATTTGCCTCCACAGACCAAAGAATATGCATGTTGTAATCAGCAAAACATTATCCCCCAGTACATTGAATGAGCGTTTCTATGGAAGTTGTGCTGGTTTTAATTTTCACGTATGTCTCTAGGCTATAGACTTGGCTTATAGTCATAAACGGTATGTTGATATCATGTATGGTCAGTGTGCACGTTGTTTGCATACTTCAAGTCAAATTGGGAGTATGTCAGTCTTTCTCTCACACTCAGGTGTGAGCCCTGGTGATGCAGTAGCTACGAGATGGGCAGTTCAAAACCACTAGCACTCCGTGGAAGAAAGATGGCTTTCTATTCCCCACAGTGGTTACTGTCTCAGAAGTGCAAATGAGCAGTGCTGCCCTGTCCTACAGGGTCACTGTCCTACAGAGTCAGCATCGACCCGGTGGCAGGGAGTTTCTGCTCAGACTTTGAGGTCAAGAAATGTAACACGGGGCATTTAGCATATAACTTGATTCATAAAATTTCACCTAGTCATAATTTTACAGGAATCCTTCAGTTGCTTAAAGTAAGATATGAGTAAATTTTCAGTGTTGAATGATGGCATACTAGGTTACACGTGTTTGGTGGTTCAAACCTACCAGCTGCTCCTCCAGAGAAAGATGAGGCTGTCCCGCTCTCGTCAAGATTTCTAGCCTCTTTGAAGGTAATCAAGTGGCCATCAAGCTCAGAAGCAACAAAGCCCACATGGAAGAAGCACACCAGACTATGCAACCACGAGGTGTCGAAGGGATCAGGTATAAGGCATCATCAGAACAAAAAAACTTACCATAGTGAATGATGGGGGGAGTGCGGAGTGGAGATCCAAAGCCCATTAGTAGGCCACTGGAGATCCCCTTGCACTGGGGTCTCGGGGAGGAGATGAGCCAGTCAGGGTGTGATGTAACAATGATGAGAAATACAACTTTCCTCTAGTTCCTAAATGTTTCCTCCCCGCTCCCACTACCATGACTCGAATTCGATCTTGCAAGTCTGGCTAGACCAGAGGAGGTACACTGGTACAGATAGGAACTGAAAATACAGGGAATCCAGGACGGATGAGCCCTATAGGACCAGTGGTGTGGGTGGCAAAACAGGGAGGGTAAAGGGAGAATGGGTAGGAAAGAGGGAACCGATTACATGGAACTGTGTGTGACCTCCTCCCTGGGGGACAGACAAAACCGAAAAGTGGGTGAAGGGAGACGTCGGACAGGGCAAGATATGACAAAATACCCATTTATAAACTATCAAGGGCTCATGAGGGAGGGGGGAGCGGGAAGAGAGGGGAAAAATGAGGACCTAATGTCGGGGGTTTAAGTGGAGAAAACGTTTTGAGAAACGATGTACAAATGCACTTTACACAATTGATGTGTGTATGGATTGGGATAACAGTTGTATGAGCCCCTATTAAAATGTTAAAAAAAAAAAAAAAAAGATTTCTAGCCTCCCAAACCCACAGGGCAGATGGGCCCCGTCCTAGGGCATCACTGTGAATCAGAATGGACTTCATGGCCGGGAGCTTGATTTTTCTTTGAAACGTGCAAGATGTGGTTGAATTTCAAACATATCGTGTGAGTTAATATATAATTTAGTAGGCATTTGGCCAAATCATACATATGTACATACGATAGTTATACATTCATACGGACCTGTAAAACATATATACTTTTTTATCTCTCAATTGCTTTCTAAAATTGATCACTTCATTGATTTTTTTTTTTTTTTAGGAAGTAGGGGCGTTGGTGTAGCGGGTTACAAGTGGGGCTGGTAGCCACAAGGTCAGGAGTTCAAAACCGCCAGCTACTTCAAGAAAGAATGATGAGGTTTTCTCCTTCCATGAAGATGTATAGTCTCGGAAACCCACAGAGACAGTTCCACTCTGCCCTTCAGGGTCATGGTCGCTGAGTTGGAACCGTTCCCATGGCACGGCACTTAGTTTAGTTTTGTGTTTTTGTTTACCTCTTTGGGTGTTAATCCAGGCACCAGCCTTGCTACGGTTTCCCAGTTGATGGTCTGAGGGACTCCAATTAGCGGATAAAGGATCATGTCCAACACCATTTGGTTGTTATTGTTCAGGAAATTGTTGTTCTCGGGGTATCCACGACTCATCTTTCAGACCTGGACAGAAAGAACAAACAGATTTATACCTAGAGTCCAAATGATTTTCAGAACCTTGTAGATCAGTTATGTCAATCTTAAGAATTACCTAGTACTATGTAAAAGTAAAAATAAATTTCCCGTAAAAATAACACAATATATAGCTCAAGTCTTTTTAAATTCAAGAGCATTTACTGATGAATTGATGGAACAAAGGAGAGAAGGAAATACGTGCTAAAATCTATAATAAAATATTAGCGGTAAAATGTAGGTGATGGGATATGGCTAATGACCGTAGATTCAAAATTTTTCATAAAGCATACAATTTACCTTTCTTAAAAAATAATCCTTAAGCGTGCCTGCTTAGCAATTCATGGATGGTGAGATTAGACTGTGAAGAAAATAAACACAGCTGGTTTAAAAAGACTTATAATTTCATTCGAGTCTAAGCACTGTTCCCTTGATTTGTTTCTGAGTGACTGTTCGGAGCATACTGAAGTTGCACAGATGAAACCAGATGAGGCTTCCACGCTGCCAGTGTGACCTGTGAGGGTGGCAGCACTGTAGATCAACGTGATGGAAGGCTACAAGACAATTGGAATGGGTATATTTTCTTTCACGTGTCCGAAACAAGTGTTCTTTTGCAAAGATCTTTTCTTCATCTTCAAAAGAAATGTGATAGGGTTGGAAAAAGAAAAGAAGTGTGACAGTTGGCTGACAATGTTTAGCGCACGAGGACACATGGACACACACACACACACACACACACACACACACACAAGTGCAAAGCCAAGGGGCCGGAACCCCTCCTAGATCCTGTGCCTTCCACATTCACCCCTGCAGGACGTAGGCCGCTCCTTCCAGTTCAGTCCAGCAGCGGCGCTCTTCTTAGTCAAAGGCCTCCACAACCGACAGGTCACAGGCTCACCCTAAAGGCTCTCCTTGCCTTTCCAATGGATTCAGTTAGACAAATATGGAGTGAGCCCCAAGCAACAGGTGTGCACAAATAAGTGGGTCTTGGGGCTTGGTCTCAAGTGTGAGGTCCAGCCTCACAATCACAAGGGTCCGGAAGAGCGGCCAAGCCAAGGAGAGAAAATACAGAGACAGACAAAGCATGCAAGGGCTCACCTTGCCAGAATCAGGAGAACCAGGGCGAATGTATTCTCCAACAGGATTAAACAGTCTTGGGGCATGCAAGTCCCATCAATCGCCTATGTAACAAGAGGCAGTGTCTTAAAGCTAGCTGTCCCTGAGCTCCTTGGGCAAGTGACACAAGATCAATATTGGGGGCAGGCAGAAGGAGTCGACTACCGTTTGAGCGGGGAGAACAGAACTTGTTTGTTCTTAGAGATAGGTAGCCTTCGGTGCACAGAGAGCAGCCAAGTACTTGCAAAAGGCATCTTTAAAGCAGTACTACGACGAAGGGGGGGGATAGTGTGGGGAGGATGTGGAGTCAGGAGCGTGGGATTGGGGGTCAGCTCTCTCACAAATGTGAAGGCCTTCCTCCACTGGAGTCGGTCTTCCAGACTCTCAGTTATGAGCGTGAAGAACTCTTCCAGGTCCTCAGTTTCCCACACTCAGGGAGTTTATGGTCTGGTGAAAAATGGTGGCAAGTAATCAGAGAATTGTCATGTAATATGCAGAGAGCCGCAGAGGGGGACGGGGGCACGCGAATAGCTGCTCTCTACTGTCACTTCCAGGACAGTCACTGTGCTGGGTCCTTCACAGATCACTGCAATTCGTGTTCACCACGTAAGGTAAGTGTCCTCCCCAAATTTTATGAAATGACACAACTGAGGTTCAGAGAAATTAGTTAACGTGTACAAAGGCCACGGAACTAATAAGAGGCTAGCCGAGGATTCACAGCCACGTAAAACAGGCTTCCAAATCCATGCTCTTTCCATTATACACAAGACATGTAGATATGGAGGCGACCGTAGACTGGGAATGAGAAAAGCCTAAGGCATTTGAAATTAGGAGTGGCATCATGGATTTTGTGTTGGGCTGCTAACTGCAAGGTCAGCAGTTCACAACCACCGGCTCAGCCTCTCCACAGGAGAAAGATGAAGCTTTCTATTCCGGTAAAGATACAGTCTCAGAAGCTCACAGGGGCAATTCTACTGTCACAATAAACTCAATGGCAGTGAGTTTGGTTTGGTGTATGATTCAATGACACAATTTCACAGTTTGTGTGTGCAGGGTGGGGAGCTTGTGAAATTAGAAAATAAGGAGTTGCCTGTTGTGGGATACAGAAAGATTTCTCCCAAGTTGTCTCCCCCAAATATACGCCAAACCCAAGATGCTGTTTGATATGCATGGTAAATCACTGTACACTAGGAGGTCAATGAAAGTAGGTCAGAGGTTATTCTCCTTAAGGGTACCAGCCATCTAGAGCGGCCAGACTGTATGTCTGACTCACCCTAAGTATGCCCACTCCCTTCTGATACTGCTCCCTTGAAGGAGTGCCCGGAAGTGAGTCCGGGACCACTCAAGGATGACTAAGGTGAGGCTACTATATTGAGTCTAGGGTCCACCCATCTTGCCACATATGTACCCCTATTCCTTCCCTTTACTATTGCATGTACTCCCCTAGATTATCCCCCTTTTATTGCTTGTACTGCCTATGTTACAACCCCTTACATGACGTAAGTAGGTCGTTATCTGTAATCAAGGGGCTTGCATGCCCCCAAAGATATTTAAGCTTTGGTTAGAAATAAAACCTGACGAGAACTCTCTCCTGCCCTCTTATCTCCCACCTCCATGTGTTCCACCAAGAGAAGCTGAGGTGAGCATGCTACCATGAAATGTGTCTGATTTGTTTATTTTACTCTCTCTTTCCCATCTCTCCTATTTCTCTATGACTTTACTGTAATCTTTATATATCTTAACCGTACAATTGCACCTACCAAACCCATGATTAGTTGTGGGGGCTAGCTTCCCTCACAGCCTGTCCATTCTTAAAGAGTTCTCGGAGACTTTTTTTATTCACGGATAGGAGACAAGGACTGAGCTCCTACTAGGCGCCGGGCACTACACACAAAGTCAGAACATGGATTTACCCATGGGAAAAAATGACTGAGGTTTTGTGGGTAGTCGGTCATACGTGTGATTTAACTGATGTGGACTTTGGGACTGGGAATGGGATCTCCAAGTACAAGCCACGGTAATGGAAAAACAAGGGCTATTCTAGCGCAGGAAGTACAAAGCAGAGATGTTCTGACATCCCGCTCCAGTGGGAAAAAAAGCAACGCGTACAGGAGCCTAGAGCTCTGGGCAGGTTGGCCAGTTACCTAACCTGGTGAATGGTGGCAAATTGGACATCCCCTTGCAGAAGGGCTGCAGGGAGGAGATGAACCAATCAGAGTGCAGTATAGCAACGATGAAATATACAATTTTCCTCTAGTTCTTAAATGCTGCCCCCCTCCACTTTCATGTTCCCAATTCTACCTTACATATCCGGCTGGACCGGAGGATGTACACTGGCACAGATAGGAACTGGAAACACAGGGAATCCAGGACAGATGAACCCCTCAGGACCAGTGGAGAGAGTGGCGATATCAGGAGGGTGAAGGGAAGATGAGGGAGAAAGGGGGAACAGATGACAAGGTCTACATATAACCTCCTCCCTGGGGGATGGACAGCGGAGAAGTGGGTGAGGGAGACGTCGGATGGTGTAAGATATGATAAAATAATAATAATTTATAAATTATCAAGGGTTCAGGGGGAGGGGAGCTGACACCAAGGGCTCAAGTAGAAAGCAGGTGTTGTAAGAATGATGATGGCAACATATGTACTAATGTGCTGGACACAAATGATGTATGTACGGATTGTGAAGAGTTGTATGAGCCCCTGATAAAATGATTATTAAAAAAAAGATGTTTTTGGGGGGTACCCCCTCATATTGTAAAATGCGTAACTAATCTCACTATTGTATAGAAATTGTCCAACGGGAACCTAATTACCATGTAAGCTTTCACCTAAAACACAAATATAATTTTTCAAAAAAAAACAAAAAACAAAACCACCCAGTGACGGTAACACAGAGGGGAGAGAACCAACAGATTCTTCTGTGGAAGGTTCTGGAGACGATGGCAGGCCCTCACAAAGGGGATACAGCACAAAATACTGTCTCCCTCCCCATAGCAGGCTGGCGAGGGCATCAGATATTTCAGACACCTCTCACTGTAGGGTCAGAGGGCAGTAGCAGCTCGACAGTTATCAATGTCACCGCTGGTTGCCCTGAATCATGGTGACCCCACGCACAACAGGATTGGGCCATTGTGACCCACAGGGCTTTCACCGGCTTATTTTCAGGGGTCTCCTAGTCCAGCTCAGCCAGGCAGCACCCCTGAAATCTGCTCGGCATCCTAGCACACAAGCCCTCGTGGAAAGATGGGTGAGGCCGTGCTTGAGGCATGTCAGCCAGGAAGCGAACCGGGTATCCCGCAAGGAAGGCGAGAACTACACCACAAAATTATCACTATCTCCTAACTACGATTAGCGCAATGCAAGTGTTCACAAGTCGCTGGGACAGGACCTTGGGTGGCAGACATCAAGTTCACCTACACGTTCTTATGTGAACATGCAAAGAAAAAGGCATGTTTATACTCTAACATTATAGCTTCCTTGCAAGAGGTACCTTGTGGATGGGCCAGTCTGGTGCAGCGGTTCAGGGGGTGGGCTCTGGAGTCAGCCTGCCCGGGGATGAAGGAGATCCCAGTTGTACCACCTCCTGTATTATTGTGTTTTGATGATTTTCTCTCTGTGCCTCAGCTTCCTCATCTGCAAAACAAAGACAGCGGTAGCTGGTTCGTACAATATTGAGGGTATATGGAAAGAGCTACTGGAAAATCTCACTGCCATCAAGAATATTCTGACTCATAGGGAAGCTATAGGACAGGGTAGAACTGCCCCTGTAAGTTTCCGGGACTGTAACTCTTTATGGAAATAGAAAGCTCCTTCAGAGAGACTGGTGGTTTCAAACTGCTGACCTTGTGGTTAGCAGCCCAGTTAGCAGCCCAATGTATAACCACTACTCCACCAGGACTCCTTGAGGGTTATATGTTTTAATAATAGCATTACCATCCCACACTGAGATGGAAATACATGACTCTCAGATCATGCAGATTCATAAAGACAAACGAGATGTGGTAACAAGTACAAGAAAATGTTCCAAAATTGATTGTAGTGATGAGTGCACAACTCTTTCTACCATGTTGAAACTATTAAATTGCCTGTTCAATTAAATTAAAAAAATAAGCCTGTTCAAATTAAATTAAAAAAATAAACATATAATATTTATGTTCAAGAAAAGAAAGCTATCCTATTAATGAGCAACACTCTTCGTAACATTTTTAAAAATTAAAAACAAACAAAAACTATATTAAGTGATATGGACAACGGGAGAGCTGGCCACATTCCCAGCACGGATACTGCCAATCAAACAAGCGAGAGCCATGTCCAGATCTTCATCTGGGTTCCTCCTAAGACTCCAGTTGCCCCAGGGGTAAGGAAACCACCGCCAGCACGTTGACTCTGAACGCAGGACCATGGAGGACAGAGCACAACTGCTGTTGGGTTTCTGAGACTGGACTTTCACTGATAGGAAGCACATAGCTTCGTTCCAGGGAACAGTTGGCGGGTTTGAATCTCCAACCATGCGGTGAGCAAGCCAACTCCCAATCCACTGAGCTGCCAGGACTCCTTAGCTTAAAAAAATAAAAGAAGCTAATGATGGGGCTATGAGGTTTGAAAAATAATATATTGTTTACTTAAGACAATGGTATAGCTCCACCACCATTTAGATTCACTTATCTATTTATACTCATGACCGTTACTGGCACAGAGCTATTCTAAGAATTAGTTGTTTAATAACTGTAAAATGCTGTTTCCAACAAATGTGTGCATAAGCAAATGTGGTGAAGAAAGCTGATGGTGCCGGGCTATCAAGAGATATAGCGTCTGGGGTCTTAAAGGCTTGAAGATAAACAAGTGCCATCTAGCTCAGAAGCAACAAAACCCACCAGTCTGTGTGACCATGAGGTGTCATTGTAAATGAGGGACCCAAGGCCCATCTGCAGGCAACTGGACACCCCCTTACAGAAGGGTCTTTGGGAGGAGACAAGCCAGCCTGGGTGCAGGGTAGCAACGATGACACATACAACTTTCCTCTAATTTTTTTTTTCTAATTCTTAAATGCTTCTTCCCCCCACTATCATGATCCTAATTCTACCTTACAAATCCGACTAGACCAGAGGATGTACACTGGTACAGATAGGAATTGGAAACACAGGGAATCCAGGGCAGATGATCCCTTCAGGACCAATGGTGAGAGTGGTGATACCGGGACGGTGGAGGGAAGGTGGGGTAGAAAGGGAGAACCAATTACAAGAATCTACATATATCCTCCTCCCTGGGAAACGTACAATAGAAAAGTGAGTGAAGGGAGACGTCAGACAGTGTAAGATATGACAAAATAATAATAATTTATAAATTATCAAGGGTTCATGAGGGAGGGTGAGTGGGGAGGGAGGTGGGAAATGAGGACCTGATATCAAGGGCTCAAGTAGAAAGCAAATGTTTTGAGAATGATGATGGCAACAAATGTACAAATGTGCTTGATACAATGTATGTATGGTGTTGAGTTATACGAGCCCCCAATAAAATGATTAAGTTAAAAAAAAAAAAGCCGTCTCCAGCCTAGTAGAGACCAGTTGTTACAGAACTCCATGCCTTTTTCAAACACTGATCATCTCAAAGTCAGGTTTAAAAAAATGAGAGTCCATTCCCAAGTGAGGCTCGTGCACATTTTCCCCTGTCGGATGAAAACTGGAGAGGTTTGGAAGGACTTGGTGATTGGGTTCATTTTGCTTTCAAACCTGGACTGTGGGCTTGCCCGATGAGCTGTGCTGCCCTCTACCATTGATGCCCTGAAAAGTGGCCAGCACACAGAAACCCCTAAAAGGTTTACTAAAGAGATTCCGAATGTTTACTTTGGAACCCATCCCAAACCAGGAACCACAACTCATTTAAATATTTAGACGCTTAATTTGTGCACCCACAAGATGGGGTCATGCTCTGAGTTTGCTAGAATCTGCAGTAAGCTCCAGGCCGGAAAGGCTGGTTGGCCTCCCCCTTGTGTTACTTTCATACCAGACAGCTTGGGATGTAGTCCCTTTGAACCCTCCAGACGCGCACAGGGGGTTCTACTGTGTCCTGCAGGGTCTCCAAGGCTCCGGTACGTCATTAACATTCGTTTGAGAGCAGAAAACAGTCCAAATGGAATCCAGAGCAAGAAGTACGGGTGTTGGTTTTTCTTCACTTCCAAAAAGATTCATTTAAATTTTCAAAAATATTCCTGGAGTCCCACAAAAGGCTGGCGTCTCTTGGGTAACGGAAGACACTGTCCCTATCAAACACTGAACAGCATGTATGTTGTTGGGTGCTGCTGAGCCAGTTTGCACTCAAATGGACTCTGTACAAAAGAATGCAACACTGCCCAGTCCTGCACTGTACTCACAAATGTCATTATGCTTCAGCCCACTGATGCAGCTTCCATGGTTAGCTCCTCTCAGTAAGGGTCTTCCTCTTTTCTGCTGCCCCTCTATCGAACACGATGTGTCCTTCTCTAGGGACTGGTCCCTCCTCAAATCCCGTGAAATGAAGTGTTACCATGGTTGCTTCTAAGAAGCATTCTGACTGTTCGCCTGGCAAGACAGAGTTGTTTGTTTTCTGTCAGTTCAGGGCATATTCAAAATTCTCCACCAACACCATCACCCAAAGGCATTGATTCATCTTCGGACTTCCTTGTTCATTGTCCAGGTTTGCATTCATAGGAGGCAAATGAACATACTACGCTTGGGGTCAGGTGCACCTAAGTTCTGAAGCCGACATTTCAGACCTTCTACTTGTTTATAAAGTATATATCTAGAAATATACAATCTTGATGTAAAAAGCATTTTTTAAATTGTGAAATAAAACTTTTTGTTTTGGACTTTTAATGATGAAAACGGTTTTTATGGGTTTTCAAATAGATAGAATATATGATTTACATAAGTCCAGATGTAGATATAAACAATACTTGGTTGAATATTACAACTGGTAGTTACTCCCCCTGCAAAGTTGTGATTTATAAATAGAACTTAACTTCTCTTTTAAAATATTCAGTATAGCTGATATCAAAATACATTCTATAATTCCTGCTTTATAAAAAACATTTTTTGTTGACATATTCCGACATAGCTGAATCATAAGAAGGGGAGATTTACCTAGCTTTCATCCCGTTAAATGTCTGTTGAAGAAAGCGTCCTTTAGAGTCTCAAGGGCAAGTTCAAAGGGTGGAGCTTTGCTCATATATTCCTGAAAACACACACTCTCGAAATGGCTATCACGGAGCACCCACTAGGAAAAAGTGCACGCTTCACAAAAACAACAGCAAAACTGTGTTAACAACAAAAAGTGGGGCGCTAAGTCGGACCACATTCATACCAAATCCATTCCCATTCATTGCAAAATATCAAACGTATTAAAGTTTAATGTCAAACGTGTATTACCTGAAATACAGCTTGTATGTGTTTAATGGATTACACATTCTGAGGACAGCGCGGGTCCCCTCTTCCGTTGCCATAATCTTGGTTGACTTACACGCATTAATCATGCCAATCTGAATTATTCCCACACCAGAGGTACAGGGCGAGCATCTGACTTCCCTTTCTCTCCCCTCCCTCCCTAAGGGCTCCGTGGGCAGGGAGTGCCCAGGTGGGAAGAGCGGGTAGCCAATGGGGGCCGGTCGATCCTTTGGCATGACACCGGACCCGGGAGAAGCCTGTGCCCAGCTTCCGCCTCACAAACGAGACCTGAGACCGTTGGCTGTGATGGTAGAGAAAGTAAAATCACAGTTCGAGTCCGAGAGGATGCACCGCAGCCCTTCAAACCTTGGGCCTGGAGGCTCTCGGGGCGCCCCGTCCTCAGGGCACCCCGAGACCTTGCAGCGCCCCCTCACACACACACCCCCCCAGTGCAGGGGCGCGACCTCCCGGGGCGCGGCGCGGATGGAGCGGCGGACAAAG